GCCGCCCGACGCGCCCTCGCCACGGCCGGCGATGCCGCCCTCCCTAGAAGCTGAATACGTATTCATGTCTCCCAACCAGCACTCGAGAGGACACGTACTCGGCCGTATTCACCCGTATTCCGCTGTGTCACTGTATTCTTCTCCGTTGTATTCACGCGGTGGTCTGAATACGCAGCACAACACCGTATTCCCGCCCTGAAGTTGGCGTATTCAACACGTAGGCCGCCCTCGCTCATCGAGAAGCTCGGGCTGACCGGCGGCTCGGGCGCCGCCGTGCTCGGCGGCATCGCCGGCGGCGCCCTCCTCGCCACCGCCGCCTGCCTGGTCCTGCTGCTGCAGCACTGCTGCACGCACGCGCGCCCGCGCACGCGGCTGGCGAATGGGCTGCGGACAGGCGTGAGACACCCGAGACTACCAACGACTACCCGAGATTACCCGAGATTACCCGAGACTACCAACGACTACCCGAGATTACACGAGATTGCCCGAGATTGCTCGAGACTGCCCGAGATTACCCGAGATTGCCCGAGATTGCCCGAGATTGCCCACTAGGCGTGCGCGCCATGCTGGGGGGGGGCGGCGGGGCGGAGAGCGCCGCGAGCCGGCAGTCGAACTCTATGCGAGAGCTCAACCCGGCCGCGATCGCTGCGGCGGCGGGTCGGGTCGCAAACATGGCAGAGCTCACACAGGGCTCCCCGACCCGCCGGCCTTGGGGCGCCGCCGGGCCCGCACCCGCCGGGGGCGGGGGGCAGCAAAAGGGGCGAGCGGCCGGCGAGCGGGCGCTCAGCCCGCAGGCGGAGCGCGCGGAGCAGGCTGCCCCCCGACCCCTCCCTTACACACGCACGCACGCACGCACGCACGCACGCACGCACGCACGCACGCACGCACGCACGCACGCGCACGCACACACACACACACACACACACACACACACACACACACCGCTCACGCGCACCGGGCCTTGCACTCTTAATGCCGTGGGGCTCCTGTCGTCTAGACGTGGAGACGCGAGAGGGTGGGGTCGCCCCCCCCCCCCCCTCTTGCCCCACCACCTCGTGAGTAAGGTGTGGAGAAGTGTACCTCACCTTTCCCTTACCTTTAGGAGCTGCGCGCGGAGCTGGCGCGCGCGCGGGCACTGCTCGGGATTCAGCCGGCGCCGCCCGCCACAGATTCGAGCAGCGGGGCCTGAAACGCGGGAGGGCGGAAGCCCGCTGGGTGGGGTCAGAAGGGCGCGGAGGAAGGCGGGCGGGCGGCGGGGTGTTCGCTGCCACCACGCCACGCCGGCCTATCTATGTCTGCGCCCGCCCCAGCGCCCCAGCAGCTCAAGTGTGATCAATAGAATAAGGGAGTCATGACGCGGTAGGAACTGAGCGAGGTGTTTTGTCACGAGGCTCACTCATCTCTCTCTCTCTGCTATTTCAGGTATAATTACTAATTTCATGATTCACGATACGATCACCCATCCCCGGGCCGCGGGCGAGGGGCGTCTGGCTAGCTACTTTTGTTGAAAGGGTTAGGGCCATTCACTGTGGCACAGATCGCGTTACAAAACCTTGATTTGACCAATGCGCCATTTGGTGCCTCTCGGTGCCTTCCAGAGGCATGGCGCGGAGTGCCCCCGACCCCCGTCCCCACTCGGCGGGATCGCAGCTGCCTCAGAGATTTTTAGCAATACCAAACAAATCTAACACTCACACGTCATTTGGGGCCTGGAGCCCTGTTCACGCGCGCGCGAGACGTGCAGACAGGGTTGCCAACTTTGCCAGGTGAGAGCGAATGGCGCGGTTCACGCCTCGCACAACAGAGAGAGAGATGCGCTCTGCATGGTGGGACATAAAAGAGAGCGAGTACTGTCTAGGGATCGGAGCTCGGCCTCGCTCGCCGCGACATCAAAGCCAGGGTTGAGCGGCGGTTGCGGCGGAAAGGGTGGCGACGGCGGAGAGAGCGGCGGCAGCGGCGGCAGTGGCGGCAGCGGCGGAGGGGAAGGCGGATTGCTATCATCGAACGTGAAGCCCCAACCGGTCAAGCCCCAATCGTAGCTGTATTCCCCGGGTACCGGCGACGGCTTCGGTGATGGCGACAGCTCGGGCGAGGGCGACAGTGCATATCCCAGTGGGAGCAGTGCGACGAGAAGAAGCAGCCACGCGCCGCGCCACGACCCCGTCCGGCACTGTACGAGGCGCCCCGAGCTGCTCCGCCGCACCGAGGCCGCACCGAAGCGCGGCGGCCACATCCACTCGTTCAGCAGCTCGCCGCAGCATGCTCCGAGCAGCAAGAACAAGGCGGCCCAGAAGGGGGCAACGCCGTTATGAAGAGCGCGAGAGCGAGCGCCAAGATTCCGAGCAGCAGCCCGCCTCATGGGCTTGCCCGACGTGCGTCCAGACGAACGTTCGAAGTTTTAAATTAGTTAGCCGAGAATTTTACGACACGAGAACGTTGAACGTTTGCGAATTGCACTCTTTCGTCTGGACGTCAGGCGCGCAGGAGGTACATGCGAGCTTTTCAGAGTCAAGCGATTGCGCGAAATCCCACAGTGGTGGATTTTGGGGCGCTGTCTAGATCTACCCTCTATGTGTGTGGGGACGTTTACCTTACCTTACCTTACCTTGAAAAGATGCCTCAATGTCAATCCTGAATCGTGAATGCAATCCTCAGATTTTAGATTAGGACGCTGTCGACCCGGTCTACTGTAGCAGGGCGCGCAGAGTTGGCCCGCGCAAACAGACGAATACAATTTTCACCCACCTCATTCTTCACACACCGGCCCCGTGCTCCTCGTCCTCCCCGCGCCAGCGGCGGTGCCACCAAAAGTACTGCGCCGGCGCCGCCCGGACGGCGCGAGTGAGTGCGTCGGCGTACGCGCCAACCAACCGCCGCGTCAGGCGGTCCTCCGCGCCCCCGCCGCCGCCCTGGCCCTCGTCGGACGCAACCGTCGCCTCCGCCTCTCCCGCGCCGTCTTGCCCGTCGGCGGGGAGGGCTCGCGAGCGCGCATCGCGCTCGGAGATTGCATCTCCAGATCGCCTCGCGGCGAGCCGCTCCTACGTCATGTGCGCCATCAAGACGCCGAGGTAAGGGCAGGACTACGCCATGAAGACGCCGAGGTAAGGGCAGGACTAAGGGCAGGACTACGCCATGAAGACGCCGAGGTAAGGGCAAGACTACGCCATCCGAGGTACTCAGAGCACCGCGTGAGCACACGAGGGCTGCGCACACAGTGACCCCCGCGGGAGACGGCCGCATGCAGCTGAACACGTGTCCTCTCGAGCGCTAGTCGGAACACGCAACCGCGTAGTCTGCTTCTAGGGCTCCGCTCCAGTACGAGTCGCAGCACGAAGCCCGCCTCGCCGCCGCCGTCAGCCTCGCCGCCGCCTCCCGCCGCCCCTCCACTGCCCTCGGCCTCGCCCTGATCGACGAGCAGCAGCGCAGCGAACCACACCGGCGCCTGTGAACAGCGTCTCTTCACACCTCTAGCTGTGAACAGGCCGCTGCACAACCCAAACCGGCGCCGGCGTGCTGCATACGAGGGGTACGAACGCAGGGAATACCGCGGAATACGACCGAATACGGCGGAATGCGCGTCCTCTCGAGCGCTAGAGATGGGGGTGATATGGGGGAGATATGGGGGAGATATGGGGAGGTGTGTCCTCTCGAGCGCTGGTTGGAGTACGAGAAGACGTCTTCCGCTTCTGGGCACCGGCGCCCCGGTCGCCGCGTGCAAGCGGGCGATGCCTGACGGTGACAAGGGGAGGTGTAGCCTCTCCACTCACACACTCGGGGGGGAGGGGCAGGCTGCCCACAAAAGGTGTATCCGTGTGTCTTCAATCATGCGATGGAATCAGTTCTCGCCGGACGAGCTGAGCTGAGCCTCAGGGCTGAGCCTCCGCCGCACCTCGGCTCTGCCTCGGCTCTGCCTCGGCTCTGCCTCGGCTCTGCCTCGGCTCTGCCTCGGCTCTGCCTCGGCTCTGCCTCGGCTCTGCCTCGGCTCTGCCTCGGCTCTGCCTCGGCTCTGCCTCGGCTCTGCCTCGGCTCTGCCTCGGCTCTGCCTCGGCTCTGCCTCGGCTCTGCCTCAGCCGCACCTCGGCTCTGCCTCGGCTCTGCCTCGGCGATACCTCGGCGATCTCTCGGCTCTGCCTCGGCGATCTCTCGGCTCTGCCTCGGCGATCTCTCGGCTCTGCCTCGGCTCTGCCTCGGCTCTGCCTCGGCGATCTCTCGGCTCTGCCTCGGCGATCTCTCGGCTCTGCCTCGGCTCTGCCTCGGCTCTGCCTCGGCGATCTCTCGGCTCTGCCTCGGCGATCTCTCGGCTCTGCCTCGGCGATCTCTCGGCTCTGCCTCGGCGATCTCTCGGCTCTGCCTCGGCGATCTCTCGGCTCTGCCTCGGCGATCTCTCGGCTCTGCCTCGGCTCTGCCTCGGCGATCTCTCGGCTCTGCCTCGGCGATCTCTCGGCTCTGCCTCGGCTCTGCCTCGGCGATCTCTCGGCTCTGCCTCGGCGATCTCTCGGCTCTGCCTCGGCGATCTCTCGGCTCTGCCTCGGCTCTGCCTCGGCTCTGCCTCGGCTCTGCCTCGGCGATCTCTCGGCTCTGCCTCGGCTCTGCCTCGGCGATCTCTCGGCTCTGCCTCGGCGATCTCTCGGCTCTGCCTCGGCTCTGCCTCGGCGATCTCTCGGCTCTGCCTCGGCTCTGCCTCGGCTCTGCCTCGGCTCTGCCTCGGCTCTGCCTCGGCGATCTCTCGGCTCTGCCTCGGCGATCTCTCGGCTCTGCCTCGGCGATCTCTCGGCTCTGCCTCGGCGATCTCTCGGCGATCTCTCGGCGATCTCTCCGCGATCTCTCGGCGATCTCTCGGCGATCTCTCGGCGAGGCGAGAGACCGGTCGAGAAGAGGGCGGGGCGGCCAAGGAAAGACGCGCGGGCGGCGGGTGGCCTAATGGGGGCATGTCTCGGACATGTCCAGGACAGACGCTGGACATGTCCTGGCACAGGGCGGGCTGGGCAGGTGGCCGGCTCGGTCTCTGGTCTGGCAGCAGGCCGACGAGGCCCCCGCGCGCCACCGCCCGCCGCAGCGAGGCGAGGCAGCCTGGAGGAGGCTTCCGGGCCGGTCCCGAGACGGTTCCGAGAAGGTTCCGCTGCAGCGAGTCTGGGCAAGGCAGCCGTGATCCGCGAGCAGCGCCAGCCCTACTTCTTTTCAGACTGGGTTTGGGTACCGGGATGGTAGGGTACTGTGCGTCGGCGCGAGCGCCAGGCCGGCGCCGCGTCGCCGCGCCCGCAGCCAGCGGTCGAGGAGCCGGCTGTGCAGCGGCCTGTGCATACGCCAGACTTGTAGACGGGATTCGGGCCCCCGGGCAGGTGCGGGACCCCGGCTCTTCACAGCACGGCAGTGTGGGCAGGGCAGGGCAGGGCAGTGTGGGTTTCACGGCAGGGCAGGTAGGGAACGGCATCGCAGGGCAGGGCAGGGCAGTGGGTGCGGGCAGGGCAGTACTCTCGGCCGTCTCTCGGCCGTCTCTCGGCGGTCTCTCGGCTGTCTCAAGAGGGAAGGTGAGAGAGAGAGAGAGAGAGAGAGAGAGAGAGAGAGAGAGAGAGAGAGAGAGAGAGAGAGAGAGAGAGAGAGAGAGAGAGAGAGCTCGGCGGTCTCTCGGCGGTCTCTCGGCGGTCTCACCTGTACACCAGCCGCCCCTGCTCGACGGCGCACTGCGGCAGCTGCGCCGCCAGCAGCCGCGGCAGCAGTTCCCACACGCCGATGTGCGCCGAGCAGACAACCACGCCGCCCGCGCGCGCGTCCTCGACCTACGCCATGAGTGCGTCGGGGTGGGCGTACGGTCTCGTGCCGAGCATTCAGAGCACCGCGTGGATACGAGGGGTGCGAAGACGGTGAGCATGGCGGAGGGCGGTCGAGTACGGCTGCATACGCGTCCTCTCGGGCGCTAGTTGGAATGCATGAACAGCTTCAGCTTCTAGGGTCCTCGACCAGCTCCGCCAGCGCGGCGCCGCACTGCGGGTCGCACCGCAGCGCGCGGCGGAGCGTCTCGTCTCGCGACGGCGGCTGCAGCGTGAGTAGAATCGCCTGGCCGAGGTGTAGCAGCGAGCGCCGCCCGAGCGCCGCGGCCTCCTCCCCACTGCTGCAGAGGCTGCGCACGTTGGACCGCACCACGCCGGTGCGCCACCCGCCAGCACGGGCCACTAGCCAGCCGCAAGCCCGGCCGGCGGGAAGGACAGCGGCCAGCGGCACCGCCCGAGCGAGCAGCTCGAGGCAGCGAACCGCGAGGTAGGAAGCGACGTCCTGCAGCAGCGCACGCCACCGTTGCATTAACCTTCTGTGTGAGCTCCTGCTGCACTTGGGGTGGGACGACAGGGGTAGACCGTGCTTTGATCGGTCGCCGTTGCCGCAGCGGTGCGAAGGAGCAGGCGACGGTGCAGGCATTCCGTGCACACGCTTCTTCACATAAACGCACAACTCCGGACGCAAGACGCACAAGCACAGACAGTCGAGAAGGGGGAGAGACAGCAACGACAGTCAGAAGTCAGCGCTGGGTCCCAGGAAGGCGAATGCGATGACGGCCTCTAGTGTGAGCTCTAGCTAGTGAGCTCATACGCACGCCGGCAGATCGCGACTATATACAGCTAGTTAAGAGCCGACCGACCCTCGCGTCCGGTGCTCACCGACGGCCGGGCGGGCCGCCCGCCCACGCGCCGCCTACGCGCAGCGCGTGCGCCGCAAACTCGCCCGCCGACAGCGCTGGCCAGTCTCCATCGGCCGTCGCGAGAGGCCTGCCCGGCTGTCGCCGCGGGGCCCCCACGAACACCACGCGTCGGATGCGGTGCCGCGCGAACTCGCGCGCAAAGTGCACGCCCCACGCCCGCCGCAGCGTCGTAGCGAAGTAGGACCGCGCCTCCTTCGCGCTACGCGCGCCGATCCGCCTCCAGTGCTGCTTGGATGCCGACTCCACCACACAGTCGAACAGCTGGTGCAGGTCGTCCGACGCCTCCGCGTAGGCCCCGACAACGAGGCTGCGCACGGTGCCAAACGAGCGCAGCACGGAGGAAACGGCGTCCCTCGAGCCGTTGTTCCATGCCTGCACGTGCGGCTTGGCATCGAGCGCCGCCGCCCGCGCCTCGTAGTCGCGCTGGACAAGGTTCGCCCTGTCGGCGACAGCGCCGCCCTGGCCATCGTCGCGCGCCCGAGCGCTCATGTAGTGAGGCCCGCCGCGGTGGATGGTCTTGCCCTCGAGGAGGTGCTCCGCCGGCGGCTGCTCGGGCCCGCGCTGCACTGTCGTGCCGCGCCACCGGACAGACGGATGCGCCTGGCCTCGTGTGCCCGTGCAGCGCGCCGTGCGGGACTCGCGCAGCTTGCAGTGCAGGCGCCCATCCGGCACGATGCCGTTCTTGCCGCGCGTGCCAGCTGTGCCGTTGAGTGTGACAGGCGGGATGACGGCGCTGAAGATCTCGCGCGGTTCCTCCTTGCCGCGCAGCCCCGCGTGCAGCGCATCACCGATCACGCGTGAGAAGATGTCGTCGTGGCAGTTGCCGTGGGCGCGGTCGTTGAGCGTCGCCAAGCCCAGCTGGACGCCAAAGGCATCGCAGACTCGAGGAGGGCCGCGGCCGGAGCAGGCGATGCTCTTGCCCACGAGCGCGCGCACGGCTGGGCTCTCCCGGCCGAGGTAGGTGCAGAAGATCTCGCGGAACTCGCGCGCCTCGCACCGGTTCTGAGCCGAGGGCCATGAGCTCACCCACGCGGACGAGAACGAGTCGACGGCCAGCCACGCCTCCCGCCGCGTGTCGCCGTGCGGCAGCCCGAGGATGCTGCGGCTGAGCTGGTTGCGCTTGACCTGCTCCCGCTGCTGCGTCAGCTGCCGCTGTAGCCCAGCGCTGCCGGCCCGCCCGTTGCCAGCCTCGGGAGCCCGGACATCGAGAGGTCCCGCCACGCCCTCGCCGCGGACCTCTCGCTGCATGCCCTCCCACGCCTTCTTGAAGGACTCGCCCGTCGGCGTCAGCTGCCCCAGCTGCGCGCCGAGCGGGTTGACGTTGGTGGTGCAGCCCGAGAGGAAGCGCGAGAGGCGAGGGCTGTTCGGGTACGGCAACTCGAAGGCGCCGTGGCCGAAGAGCGGAGCGAGCATCTGGAAGAAGCCGCGCTCTCTGCCGCCGCCGGGCGTCGACCTGTCGAGGAACCTCTCGGCCGCCTCGACAAAGCAGGCGCAGAACGCAGCCGGCGCCACCTCCTCGAGCGAGCGCAGGCCGAGGCCGCGCATCCGCGCAGGCAGGCGAGCCCGCCGCGCGGTGATGGCGTCGCCGAGCACGCCCTCGTAGCCGCACGCCTCAGCGGCACGGGTGAGCGCAGCGTCGACGACGCGAGCGTGGGACACCGTCTTGTCGGGAGGGAGGTGCCGAAGGATGAAGTCGAACTTGGCGGAGCAGGAGTAGTAGATGGCGGCCCACAGCTGCCCGTGCGGGGGCTTTCTGGCCAAGGGGACAATCGGGCTTTCCACGGGACCCTGGCCAACCAACACGGAAGAGCCTATGGTCCTTATTGCTCGATGTAGGCCTCCACGATACTGCTCACCTGGGCGCGTAACCACGCATCCACAAACCCTGCCTCCCCCATTGGGCAGCCCGCGACCATCACGCCTCGGTACGTCCGCGACCCGCCATCCTCCTCCGGCACCAGCACCATGCCGACTGGCGCGCCCAACGCCTCCCGCCACAGGCAGTGCGAGAGGTTGTACTCGGGAGAGAAGCACTCGAGCTTCGAGACCTGCATCTCGAGGTTGAGCGACGCCTTGACCGCCTCGCCAAAGCGCTTGACCGCCGGGAACACGGCGGCCGCCGGTCCTAGCGCGAAGATGTCGTCCATCTCCGCCCAAGCCCCGCCACCGAACGGCCTCAGCTCGGCGTCGAGGGCAGCCAGCTCCGGCTGGATGGCGATGCAGAAGGCGCCGCTCGATGGAGGCCCGCCCTGCTGCGTGCCGGTCGCCGAGTCGCCGCCACGCGACGTCTCAGCGCGGCACGTCTGCCCCTCGAGGTGGTGCTGCTCAAAGAGCCGCGTCCGCTGGGGCCCGACGAGCAGGCTCGTCGCGGACATGAGCGTCGCGTGAAGAAGCGGCATGAACGGCGCCAGCTCCGGCACCTCCGAGCAGCGGCGGAGAAGCGCCGACCGATCGATCTCGTTGTACGCGTTTTTGAGGTCGATCTTGACGAGCACAAAGTCGCCTCGCTGCTCGAGCAAGATGCGGATCCCGTTGATCATGATCGAGATTCCGCCCGAGACTCCTACCGCCACCTGCTGTGGCGCGAGCACGTCCGCCATCGCCGGGGCCACGCTGGCAGTCACCGAGGTGAGGATGGACCGCAGGGTGACCTCGCCCACCGCCACTGGCCGCACGTCAGGCTGTCGCATGGCCTCCACGTCGGCCTGCGTGACCGCCTTCTTGACGAGAGGCATCAACGAGGCGATCGAGGCGGCGCCGTAGAACCAGGTCGGCAAGTCCCCGCTGGCGAGCTCCGAGGCGAAGGCATCGTACTTCTGCATGACGCTGTCGGCCTTGGCGTCGTCGAAGGAGTGGGTGAGCACCCTGAGGTACTCGTTGCGGTTGCCCGAAGGCCCGGTGCCCGCGCGCCGCCGCAGCTTGCGGAACGTCTCGGTGAGGCTCACCCGCACCGCCGGGACCTGCACGGGCAGGTCGTGCGGGACGGGGCGATCGCGCTCCGGGTGCTTCCTGCGCAGCTGCAGGAGCACGGAGGCCGAGAGGTCGGCAATGCCCAGCGAGTGAAGCATCCGCATCGCGCGAGAGATCTCGCCGTCCGCGAAGAGCGCGAGCGCCGCGGACACCGCTGCCGAGCGCTCTCGCTCCGTCCGCTCCTCGAAGCTCTCGCGGCGATGCGCGCTCCGACGCCGAGCCGACCACGCTCTGGTGCGATCGGCCTCCCAGGCGCAGAGGAGGGCGGCCCGCTCGCCGTTGCGCCACCGCTGGAAGCGCAGGGCGAGAGACGTCGACACGTCGATGGAGCGACCGCCGCCCCGAGAGGTGCGCGCCGGCCCTCGCAGGAGCACGTCATGCAGACATAGTTGCCACTTGAGCCCGCGCTCGAGCGCCAGCTCATCGCCCGAGCTCTTGGCAGCCTGAATGAAGTCGAAGACGTCGACATTTGCTCTCGCCCACTCGCCTCGCAGCGAATCCGGTACCTCGAGAACGTGACTGCACGGGGAGACGGCGCACTGGAAGGCGCTGTGCGCGTCAATGCACTCCCACTCGCCTCCCGGCGGCACCGCCGGTGGCGCCCTCGCATCAGGGAGGCTCACCTTCTCCGCCGCCGGCGGGAGGGCGTCCCATGCGGCCTGGCGCGTGGCGTCCGCGTCTGCCCGCGTTTTGGCCGCATGGCACGCCGCCGAGCGGCCGGCCGCCGCCTCGACGAAGGCCTGGTCGGCCTCCGAGACCTGTGCTTTACACAGCGGGCACTCCGGTGGGGCCTGCTGGTTTGACCGAGCTCCAAAGGCGCTCCGCAAGCAGCCCGCACAGAAAGCGTGGGTGTGGTGACAGCCAAGCTGGCAGATGGTCGCCGTCTCTTCCACCTCGGAGAAGTCACAGAGGCAGATCCCGCATCTACTCTCGAAGAGCAGTTGCCGGTTCTCCTCTTGCCGCAGGAGCTGGTGCTCGATGTGAAGCCGGAGCCTCTGGCTCCGAGCTTCTTCTTCGAGCACCTCGAGGTAGGACATGGTCGTCCCATCCTCCAGCGGCCGCCCCTCCGCCTCCTCCAACCACCAGCTGTCTGCGGCCCCGTCCGATTGGGGGGGCATCCACTCGCCCTCAGCCTGCGATTGAGCCGCCGCCTCGGCTGCTGCAGCCTCCGCCGCCGCTGCAGCCAGCCGCTCTTCCGCCGCCAGCTGCGACTCAGCGATCCGCGCCAGCCTCTGCAGCCGAGTAGCAGCTGACTCAGCCGGCAGGGAAGGAGCAGCAGACTCAACAGCCTCACGAGCCTGGCTGGCTTGAAGGCGCTGCGAGCGGCGGTAAAGTTGGTCAGTGTTGCTGTCCTCTGTATCACCGCCGCCGCTGCCACCGCCGCCGCCGCTGCCACCGCCGCCGCCGCTGCCACCGCCGCCGCCGCTGCCACCGCCGCCGCCGCTGCCACCGCCGCCGCCGCTGCCACCGCCGCCGCCGACGCCACCGCCGCCGCCGACGCCACCATCGCCACTGCCGTCGTCGCCGTCGAAGCTGCGACCACCGCTGGAGCCATCAGAGCTGCCACCTCCAGAGCTCCTAGAGCTCCGAAGGCGGCGAGGGCCGCTGGCTCCACGTCGGCCATCGCCACCACCTCCCCGCTCACCGCTGCGACGTGACATCGCGATATGCGAGGTCACGTGCGCAGCGGCGCTCAGTTAGGTTGGTTGCGTCCGCTGGCTAAGCTTGGTTCGCGGTGGCGGGCGCCATGGCGACTGCACGATGGCAGGTAGGACGCACGTCTCGCTGCTGTCGTATTCACTCTGGGTGGGTTTCAAACCACAAAAAATTCGCACGCGTACAATGCGATGCGAGTTAAGGCAGGGCAGTCCGGGTTTTGCGAGACGGGTGTCGTCTCGCAAGATGGCATCACGCTCGCACCTGCCGACCGCCGCCACGGCGGCGAGACGCCTTATCCGCCACCGCGGCGCCGGCCACAGGCCAGCGCTAGGCAGCTGCCGGCCACACTGGGCCGGATTTGCCGGTAACCGTCGCCGCACACTCCTACGTCCACGCCGCTGTGACGTCTGGCGACGAGGCGCCGGCCGCCAAGCTTCATCGCCAACGTGGTCGCTCGCTGGTCCTCTCGGCTCGGCCACGCGTCGGCCCAGCTCACACGAGCTCCAGACAGCCACCAGTCGCCACGCGCAAAGCGTACGGGTCGCCGGCTCCCTGTTGTGCTCTCACGCTGGCCGGCGTAAAACTGTACTGGCAGTTGTCATGCCGTACCCGTCGCGTTTCGAAAGGGAGCCCTCAATCGACGCGTCTACACGCACCGTGCCACCGCTCTCCACAACTGCTACCGTGGACATCAAGCTCCTCGACTCGATCTGCGGCTACGACGGCGCTCTAGCTGCTGGCTCTCGCGGGTGTCTGGCGACCCGCTCAGGCTTGCGAAACGGCCGGCCGCGGCGACGTGTTTCGAGCTCGCTGGCCTTCTCCGCGCGGCTGGGCCCGCCCCTAGTCGGGGCCGACCCGCCCAGTCACTGGGCAGCGCGTGCGCCGGCGTTCTGGACGACGGTGTGCCGATGCATCCGGGAGGCTCCGCGGGGCTGCTCTAGCAGCCTCGGGAGGGTCGAAAATCGAAGCCGGAGCGGCGGACCACGGAAGCTCCACGGACGGTGAGGCGGGCTGTGGTTGGCCCCCCCTGACCGGGCGGGGGAGTGGCGCCCCGGGAGTGCCGCTCCGGCGACGTCTGTGGCCTCCACGGTACCGTGACCGCGGTGCTCGCTCTCGCGGCCGTCTCACGACCCGCTCGAGACGAAAACCGGAGCGGACGGTGCGACGAACCGCGAGTGGGATGGTCTTCTCCGCGCGGCTGGGCCCGCCCCTAGTCGGGGCCGACCCGCCCAGTCACTGGGCAGCGCGTGCGCCGGCGTTCTGGACGACGGTGTGCTGGTGCATCCGGGAGGCTCCGCGGGGCTGCTCTAGCAGCCTCGGGAGGGTCGAAAATCGAAGCCGAAGCGGCGGACCACGGAAGCTCCACGGACGGTGAGGCGGGCTGTGGTTGGCCCCCCCTGACCGGGTGAGGGAGTGGCGCCCCGGGAGTGCCGCTCCGGCGACGTCTGTGGCCTCCACGGTACCGTGACCGCGCCGGCCTCGCTCGGGAGGCTCTTTCGGAGCCGTCGGCCTCCGAAACCGTCGCGTTGCTGCGCCTGGACGGCTTCGATGCTCGCCAAACCCGTCGGCACCGTTCATATACACATGAATTGTGAGTGAACGCGCATTTTTCTGGTATTTAACTGAAATGTGCCGAAATGTTAGTTTCGATCTAGTCCTCACGGACACAAAACAGAGGCCTCCTAGCACGGAGAAGCGACTAAGAGTCGCCGACGTGCGAGTTAAATGCCAGAAAAATGCGCCCGGAATCACAATTGATCCCGTCGACAAGGCGCCCCAATCGCGGAGGTCTGGCGCGGGCGTGGAGGCGAGCATCGACGCCTCGACGGTTGCTCTTCAGAGGCCGAAAACAGGCGCCTGAAAAAGGAGAGAACGCGAGACTGATCACGCGCGCGGAAAAGCCCGAGGGGCGAATCTAAAGTGCCGAGGCGCTTGCTAATCACCCCAGCTAGGGCCACGGAGGCGCTCGCGGCAGGTCTCCGCGCGCGCGCTGGCCGGTGGCAGCTGATCTCGGGCGGCGGGCGGCGGGAATGGGCTCGGGCGGCACCTTTTGCCCTCAAAAGTCGTTCGAGAGTACCGGGTCGCGGCGGGAACGCGCCCATCCGCTCGATGGGTGTCAGGAGTCGATCGCCTGCGCCAGGAGCGAGCACGGGAGTCGTCGCGATGGGAGTCGTAGCGGCGTGGCGCTCGGCTTCGAGAGAGCGACGTGGGCGCGGCGGCGCGGGCGGCCGGTGGGGCGCGTGAGGTCCGCACCTTCGCGACGGGCAGGCTCGATACGGCCGCTGGCCGGGGCGGCCGCTCGACCGGCCGCCGCGGTCGTTCCGGCGGCGGCGTCGGCGTCGGCGTCGCGAGCGAACTGGCTCGCATTCGACGAGCGACCCTCTTCACAGAACCCGGACTGCCACCTTAATGCGCAGTTCTTCTCTGCACTATAGCCCTTGAGAAAAAGCTCGCATTATGCAAACCTGTGCCTGTGTCCTAGGAAGTAGACTGGGAGGGGTACTCCCAAAGGCAAGAGGAGGTCTGGAGAGGCCCACAGCGGTCAGGAGAGGCCCCAAGAGGGTGCTAGATGAGAGTCAGCAGAGCGCGCCGTCTCGGCGGCTATGGGCAAGTGGGCTGAGAGACCAGAGGGATTTTATTCTCGGCCGGAAGTGCGCGGCTCAACTTCTAATAAATTGTGCCAGGTGTATCCGGGGGCGGGCAGCACGGAACCGATTTTTATTCGGCGCAGACCTTAGCTTCCTGAGTCACCAGAAAATCCCAACGATCCTTGAGCGGAGGCCGCCTTAGCCACTTTTCCGGCCTCTCCGGAGAATCAGAGAGAATGGCTACCAAAGCCCAGCATGGCACCCGCGGGCAAAGCTGCCCCCAGGTCCCTAGAGCCCATGGGCATTCCCAAAGGATATGTCAGCGTGAGGTGAGGGCGCAACGGTGGGGGCTCTTACCAGCCCCTCAAAGTCGGGGCTCTCGGGAGGCGGTCAGAGGGGCGGGCAAGGGCACGTGGGAGAAGGGTCAGTGCGGCCCACAAGGTGTGAGCTACCCCCTCTCCTAGGTGTGGCTCTACAGCCCCTGAGACCCCCTAGGCTGGGCACCATCAGCTTGGGCAGAGGTCCTCGGGGTGGGGAGAGAGGGAGCTCCCCTTTTCAGCCCCCCCCAACCGCGCATTAACTCGCATCCCATTGTAGGTGTGCTGGGGGGGGGCGACAGGGAGGATGTGGCCTTGAGTTATGTGTACGGCAACTCAGGGTGTGTGGCAGCCCGCTGGCTGTGTGTCTTGTGAGCTTGTTTGTGTCGCTCGTGCGTGTCGTCATCATCTGTCTGTCCGGCGTGTGAGTGAGTGAGTATTCTTGATACGAAACCACGACGACACACACCAGTCGACTCGCATCGGTTGCCTCCATTAACGGCGGAGCTATTCTCGCGTCCACACCACACCTGGCTCCAACGTGGACACGCCCATAGCTGGGGACACTACTAGGTCACGCGTGAGTGAGTATTCTTGATACGAAACCACGACGACACACACCAGTCGACTCGCATCGGTTGCCTCCATGAACGGCGGAGCTATTCTCGCGTCCACACCACACCTGGCTCCAACGTGGACACGCCCATAGCTGGGGACACTACTAGGTCACGCATGGCATCAGAAGTTTTGTCTCTGGGCCCCGAAAGGCATCTCTAGCAGCGTCGTTACGCATGCGCCCTCCCCTCCTGGGCGCATACGCCTCACGTCTCGACAGAGCGTAAGCTCTTGGCGTGTGACGAGACGAGTTCTTCGCCATCGCAGCGAGCAGCACACCACTCACCGCAGCAGCCGGGGGCATTGCCGCAGCACTGTCTGCGCCGCAGTCCCGCACCCGTCGACGAAGCTCCCCCCGCGGAAGACCGCGCGTAGCGACGCCTTGACGATCGAGATGAGCGCGCTTGAAGCTCGCCCACCTACTGCCACACACACACACACACACTCACTAGGTCACGCATGGCATCAGAAGTTTTATCTCTGGGCCCCGAAAGGCATCTCTAGCAGTGTCGTTACGCATGCCCCCTGATGCGTGATTGTGTGTGGGCTGCTCCGAGGGGGCCCTCTGTGCGATCCGTGCCATAGGCCTCTGAGGCCTCCGGCGAGGTGAGGACCTCTGAACTTGTGAGGACCTCTGCTTCCAGCCCACATCGTCCAGGTGCAGAGCCACCCTCCTGGACGCCCCCCGTGGCCTACCCACAGACCCACACACAGTAGTCCCACAGCCAGTGGAGTGCGGCACCTAAGGCGGGGATGGGGTGTGTGTGCTTGGCAGGATCGTGCGAGCATTTCGGCTGACGAACATCGACATCGAGTTAGAAGTAAGACGTTTAATTTCTATCCATGACGGTGCGAGTCGGCTCGCCCGATTGATGTTCTGTCTGTACGTATTCTTTCTTCTTGGGGTTGCCGTCTTCTGTGCTCCTTTTGGTATACCTGTGTCGGTGACAGAGAGTTGTGTTCGTAAAATTCTTTTTTGAGAGCGCCTTCGTTGTTAATAGTACAAACCCAATGGTCCCTTGCGAGCGGTCCTTCGTTGCAGTCGCATGGAGCGTGCCCAGGGTCTTTTCTTTTTTGCGATGACATCATCGCGCAATTCGTGACATTCTACGCCGGGTTTGTATTTATTAACGAAGGCTCTCTCAGCCCACAGACGCCAGCCCCACGGTGGTCAGCATCTGCGTGAGGACCTCTGGACAAGTGAGGACCTCTCCGCTTCCAGCTCGACCACATCTTCCAGGCAGCCTCCTGTGCGCCACCCCTGACCTTTTCGATACCCACACAGTCCCACAGTAGTCCCACAGCCTCACAGCCAGTATAGTGGCGCCACTAGCCTATAGCGCCTGGGGCGTTTGTGGGTGATAGGCCTCTGAGGTCCTCCGGCGAGGTGAGGACCTCTGCACTTGTGAGGACCTCTGCACTTGTGAGGACCTCTGCTTCCAGCTACATCTTCCGGGTGCAGCCTCCTGGACACCCCCCGTGGCCTACCGACAGTCCCACAGTAGTCCCACAGCCAGTCAGTGGAGTGCGGCACCTATAAGCGGCCGGGATGGGGCGTGTGTGCTTGGCAGGATGATCGTGCGAGCATTTCGGCTGATGAATTCTTTTAGTTGGTGAGAAGTTGTCAGATTCTGCAAGTGCCACGGCGGCTGCTATTCCCTCCTCTGGTTGCGACTCCAACACACATATGCGTCCCGGCGTCAGCGGGGCGCTGATCGCCCAGGACGTAAGCAGAGATTGGATCTGCCGCTGCGGCCGCAAGAACAAGGCGGGTATGGCCGTCTGCCTTGCGCGCGGATGTAACGTCTATTTTTGCCTTCGCTGTGGTCAAACAGGTCATGATAAGAAGACGTGCCGTAGTCTACAGCCGTGGTCGGCGACGGCCACGGCGTCAGAGGGGACAAAGGGCGAGGCGGGTGGGGATGAGACGAGGAGCGGGGACTGGACGTGCCCTGTGTGCGACCAGCACAACTTCGCGTACAAGTACAACTGCAACCGGTGCGGCGAGCCAAAGGAAGGGCCTTCTGCTGCGCTCGCCGCCGCCGGCGGGGCGCCGCCGCCCTCGTCAGTCGAGGACCCGCGCTACAAGACCACGCTGTGCAAGCACTTCGCGGCCGGCTCCTGCCCCTACGGCGTCCGATGCGCCTTTGCGCACGGGGAGAAGGAGCTTCGGCTGTACACCGACATGCGCCCGACGTGTAAGCACTTCGCCGCCACCGGCGCCTGCCCCTTCCCGCGCTGCTCGTTTGCTCACGACCGCAGCAAGGCCTCCCCGCTCAGCGGACGCAGCCCCGACACCGTAGCGGCCTGGAGCGCAAAGGCTTCCCCAGACGAGGCGTTTGACGCTCTCGAGCGGGCGGCGGCGGCGGCGGGCAGCTCCCCCTCCGCGGGCAGCAAGGGCGCGATCTCGGGCAGTCTGGGCGCGATTGGGCAGGCGCGAGACGCCGACGCGCCGCCGATGGCATGGCGGAACGGCAGCGGCGGCGCGGTCGGGATTCGGCCGCCGCAGGCGGTGGGCAGCAGAGGCGGCGGAGGAGGCGGCGGAGGAGGGGGCGGCGGAGGGGGAGGCGGAGGCGGAGGCGGAGGCGGAGGCGGAGGCGGAGGGGGGGCGGGACTAGGAGGCGCAGGACTAGGAGGAGGGCCAGGGAGTAGTGCGGCGCGGATGGCGGGGAACGGCCGCGGCGCCGGCGGCGCGAGTTGGGCGGATGCGGCGGGCGGCGGTGCCGGTCCCGGTACCGCGCAGGCGGCCGCGGGGGCCGCGGTGGCGCAGGTGGCAGCATTGGGAGGCCGAGCGTGGGACGCCGGCTGGGGAAAGGCCGCGGGCGGGGCGCCGCTGGCGGCCGCCGACGCCGACGCCGAGTGCGACCCGCTGGACTTGCAGCTGCGGCTGCCCCCCCTCGACCTCGGTGGAGATCTCGATCTCGAGGGAGATCTCGATCTCGACCTCCGAGATCTGGACCTCGACCTGGACTCGGACGAGGAGGGCGCCGCCGCGAGGCCCGCGAGGGCCGCACGCCGCTAGAATTCTACGAGTACAAAGCCCCTCTCACAGCAGACTGGCACGAACTAGCACCACAAAAGGCACAGCAGGCAACGGCCCCTTACGCACGCCGCTAGAAGCCGAAGAAGAGTTCTTGCACTCCAGCCAGCGCTCCGAGCGGACACGCATTCGGCTCTGCTCAGCTGCACTCCGCCGTATTCGCTGTGTTTGCCTCCCTCGTGCTCACGCGGTGCTCTGAATGTTCTCCACCATCCCGCCTTCCCGCCCCAACGGCGGCGTATATCCAGCGCGTAGGATCGCCCTCGCCGCACCTTTGCTACCGCACCACCCTCGGGACTGAACCCACACCGGATTCGACACCCTGGGGTATGGGACACACGTAGGCCACCCGCTCTCTCTTCGACGAGCACTACGCGACCGCATCGCCGCCGCAGCCGCCGCAGCCGCCGCAGCCGCCGCAGCCGCCGCAGCCGCCGCAGCCGCCGCAGCCGCCGCCCTCCCAGCTGCCGCCCCCAAAACGGCAGCCGCCGCAGCCGCCGCAGCCGCCGCAGCCGCCGCAGCCGCCGCCCGAGAAGCCTCCCGAGGTGGCGTGTGGCTTGCCCGCCGCGCTCGCGTCGGCGCCGCTGCCAGGAAAGGTCGCGCTGATCCGGCAGCGGCTCGGCGTCTCCTCCGACCAGATCTCCCCAGATCTCCCCAGATCTCCCCAGATCTCCCCATAGGCAGCAGCTAGGCCTCTCCTCCGACCGCTCGCTCAGCGAGTCGATCCAGGTCCCGCCCCCTAGACGCGGCGACATCTCTACATCTCGGCTATATCTCGGCTACATCTCGGCTACATCTCGGCTACATCTCGGCTATATCTCGGCTACATTTCGGCTACATCTCGGCTACATCTCGGCTACATCTCGGCTGCATCTCGGCTATATCTCGGCTACATCTCGGCTGCATCTCGGCTACATTTCGGCTACATCTCGGCTTCCGTACGCATGCCTTCCAGCGAGCGCGCGGGAGGTCACGCACACGCACTCACGCACTCCGCTGCATTCGGCTGCATTCGGCTGCATCCGCTGTCCTCGTACCGCCCTCGTACCCACGCGGTGCTCTTGAGTCCTCTGCACAGCACCGTGCTCCCGCCCTGACCTCGGCCTGTCCATGCATGGCGCAGGATGCGCACGCCGCACCGTCGCTACCGCACCACCCACAGAACGGTGAACCCACACTGGATTCGATACCCTGGAGGTATGGTACACGTAGGATGCGCACGCCGCCCTCGGCGTGGCGTCCGCCGACGGAGGCCTGCTGAGGCAAGCCGACGCGCTGCTGGCGAAGCTCTTCGGAGGGCTGTGAGCGCTGTTTTTCTTTTTCTGCTGCTGGCGAGGCTCTTCGGAGGGCTGTGAGGCGCGCGCGGCAGCCTCGCGCTCGCGGCCGAAACGCCGGGAGGGAGCGCGGCGAAGCAGCTTGTACAGAGCGCGGGGGAGGGGCGGAGGGCGGAACGCAAAGGCCGCGTCGCACGCACGCGGGTAGAGCCGTAGGGACACACGGGGTGCGGGCAAGGCGCCGCTCACAAGCAGTTGGGTATTTTTGCGCGCATGGAGAGAGGCAAACGAGTATTTGAGATACGTAGAGGATGTGGAGGCTGAGTTCCACTGTGGCACTGAGTTGAGGTATGAGGAAATCGGAGGACGCGACCCACGCGGCTTCGCCACGCCCGCGCAGACGGTCCGTTTTCGGTCCCTCGCCGCTATGAGACTTGAAAGAGATCAACATCGTTGAGCACCTCAAAAAATCCTCACTGACAAGCTTTTTCCAACTGAAGACAAAGATTCCAAAGACCTCAAATAGATCGAGAAATAGCCAAGTGCTCCAAGATAGTGCATGACCACGGATGACGGATGTCGGATCGGCGACGGCTACGGCTTTAGCACCACTATCTGGCGCACGACCAGGAGGGAAAAGGACGGCAGCGAAAGCAACGGAGCACCAAACCGTGTGTGCGAGCGTTCACGCCCGCGTCTGCTGCCACTCCCGGATCATCAGGCGCAGCGTGTTGGGGGCGAGGAAGCTTTGCATGAGCGCCTCGCCTGTCATCGGGCGGGCTCGTCGACTTGGTCGCGAGCCAGCGCTCGATCGCCGTCCGCTCGTACGAATGCCCGTCCGCCGCCATCACCGGGTCACTCATGAGCTCGGTCGTGATCGGGCAGATGAAGTCGGCCGGCGGCTCCTCCTCCCTCGGTACGGAGCGACGCGGACGGAGGCGGCGGCGACGGCGAGGCGGAGTGAGGCGGCGGCGAGGGCGAGGCGGACGGAGGCGGCGGCGACGGCGAGGCGGACGGCGGCGGCGGTGACGGCGAGGCGGACGGCGGCGGCGGCGACGGCGAGGCGGACGGCGGCGGCTCGACGAGCCCCGTTTCCACACCACCACCACCACCACAAAATGATCTCGAGCGCTGACGCCAGCTCCGCCTCCTCCGTCGCCGCCACCGCCTCCTCCGCCGCCTCCTCTGCCGGCGCCGCGGGCTCTTGGACGGCACGCCGCCACCACACAGGGATTGATTGATTGATTGATGGGAAGGCGAAACACAGTCCGACCAACGACTGGGACACCAACGCGGTATGGGTGGACGCTAGACGGGCGATGACGGTCACACAGGAGCGACACACAGAACCACAAGACAAGACACTCAGCCAAACTGACTGCCACACATCCTGAGCGAACTTCCCTAGTCACCCGCGGCCGGACTCCATCCGGCACGCGTCGCTGGGCGCTCAGAGCCGCGTCCCCTGCTCGCCACCCCGACGCCGAAGCGCCCGAATCGAACGACAGGCGGCACGCGAAGACTGGTTGCAATCCCGCCGACCGCGAGGCCGCGGGATGATGCGTGCGTGGTCTTGGAGTGGGTCTCGGATTTTAAATGTGTGAGCGTGTTTTCGAATTCTTTTTGTTCCGACGCTCTGAAGTTCAGCAGCGCCGCCACTCGTAGTTCAGCAGCGCCGCGGCGCTGGCCTCCACAGCTCCGCCCTCTGCATTCATGAGCGCGAGATCGCTGGCCGCCACCGCTGTTTTTTTGGTGGCCGCCACCTCTGCCGGCTGGTTCGACGGCGAAAGCGGCAGTCAGCAGCAGCGGCGGCAGCAGCAGCAGCAGCAGCAGCAGCAGCGTCAGCAGCAGCAGCAGCAGCAGCGCGACCTGTACGCTGTGCTCGGCGTCGACGAGAGCGCCACGGATTCCGAGATCAAGAAGGCGTACCGCCGGCTGAGCGTCAAGCACCACCCCGACAAGGGAGGCGACGCCGCCACGTTCAAGGAGCTCACGTCGGCGTACGAGGTGCTCTCGGACGGCGAGCGGCGCGCGCTGTACGACGTCGGCGGGATGAGCGCGGTGGAGAAGGGTGCGGGCGGGCGCGACATGTTCGGCCGCTCGACGGGCGTCCCCAAGGGCTGCTGGCTTAGAAGCTGAATGCGTAGTGCACCGCTCCTGTATCCCAACTAGCAGAATGCAGGAGTTGGGAGTCTTCTTCTTCTTGGCCGGGGTGGAGTCCTGTCTCCCACTTCCTGGTCCTCTTCCTGCGCACGACGGGCCACGCATTCCACTAGAGTCGACCGTCTTCGGCCGTCTTCCCCGCCTCCCAATCTGTTGTGTTCACGCGGTGCTCTTCCTTCCCTTCCCCTGCCGTCTCCCCGCCCTCAGGGTGTTCACACAACAGCACAGCCCCGGGCCCGAGACGCACACGCACAGCCAGCCGAGAAGGGAGAGACGGCGACGGCAGTCCGAAGGCAGCACGCGGCCCCAGGACGGCGACTCCGAGGGCGGCCTCACGCGTGTTGACAGAACCATTGACAGAAAGACATTGACAGAAAGACACAACCCAGGCCCCAAGAGCGTGTTCTGCGCCCCGCAGGCGCGCCGGTGGAGGTGACGGTGCGCGCGCCGCTCGAGGACTTTTACAAGGGCGGCACGGTCCGCGCAAATGTGCGGCGGCGCGTCGTCTGCCGCGGCTGCCGCGGCCACGAGGCGCACCCGCGCTGCAGCAGCTGCTCTCGAAGCTGCCCCGCCGAGACCAAGGTGGTGCAGCGGCGGATGGGCCCGATGCTCATCAACGAGGAGGTGCAGGTGCCGTCCGAGCAGCTCTGCCGCGAGGAGGTCAAGACGCTGCACGCCGTCATCGAGCGAGGATCACCTCCACCCAGCCCCACCTCAGCACCCCTATTATCACTCTCTCCCCCCCCACAGTGATGAATAGTCTACCTATATCCCTATATTCCCACACCCTGTGCAGTGGCACATCTCGCCACCTAGATCCCTAATATTGGCACCTCCGTCGGGCGCCGAAGGAGACGCGGCGGCGACTCGCCTCCCGCTATCTCCCCCCATCTCCCCCATCTCTCGCCACCTAGGCGCCGAGGAAGACACGGCGGTCACGTTCGAGCGCTCGTCGGAGCAGTCGCCGGGCGAGGTGCAATCTCGGGGGGAGATTGCCCGAGATCGTGGTGCACCGGGCGAGGCGCCGGCTCAGAACGCTCGTCTGGTGGCGCTGAGCGCGTTGCATGGCGCGATGCCACTGGCGGCCACACTGTCGCCGCATCGAGCGAGTCTCGGGCGAGGGCTCTTCTGGAGGGCCTCTCGGCCGAGATCACCCGAGATGACCCGAGCTTAGGTGCAGTGGCGGTCGGACGGGGAGATCACCCGAGATCACCCGAGAGTCTCCGAGCGTAGGTGCCCGGGGACGTCCTCCTGCGGCTCCGATCGGAGGGCCACGCGGCTTTCACCCGACGCGGCGCCGACCTCGAGATGGATCTGCGCATCTCGCTGCGGCAGGCTGTTTGGGAGATATGGGGAGATATGGGGAGATATGGGGAGATATGGGGAGATATGGGGAGATCTGCGCATCTCGCTGCGGAAGGCGCCGCTTGGGTGGGGCAAGGCGGAGGGGGGGGGGGGCGCTCGCGACTCCACGGCTAGACGACGGGAGCGGGCACGGCGTTCAGAGGGCAAGTGGGCAAAGGACGGCCCCTCCCGCTGCTGCACCTCCCGCAACGGCGGTTCGTCGCCCGTCGTAGAGCGCTGATTGGCCCTTGTGTCGCCGCGGCAGGCGCTGCTCGGCTTCAAGCGGCGCATACGCCACCTCGACGGCCACGAGGTGCTCATCTCGCCATATCTCCCCACATCTCCCCCTATCTCCCCATATCTCCCCATCATCCTGCTGCACGAGGGCGAGGTGCTATCTCCCCACATCTCCCCACATCTCCCCATATCTTCCCACATCTCGCCGCCTCGACGGCCACGAGGTGCTCATCTCGCACGCCGCGGTCTCCACGCCGGGAATGGTGCTCACCTTTGCCAACGAAGGCATGCCGCGGCACGGCGTCCCTAGAAGCGGAACATCTCCCCGTATCTCCCCCCTACTCCGCTGTATTCGACCGTGTTCGGCGGTATTCGCTGTCTCCCCCCCCCTCGCTTGCATCCACGCGGTGCTCTGAACACACTCCACAATACCGTCTTCCCGCCCCGAGGTTGGCGTCTTCACGACGCAGGGGTGGCGTCCCCTGGTCCCCTGCCGAACACGGCGCCCCAATCCACGAGGCTCGTTCACGGATCCGTCCGTTCATTAGGCACGGCGTCCCCTCCGAATACGGCGCCCTGCGCGTCACGCTGCAGATCGACTTTCCGAGCGAGCTGACGGCAGACGAGCGCGCGTTCACCGCGAACCACTTTGGGCTGCCGGCCGACGGCGGGCAGCGCTAGGGGAAGGGCGGGGGCGGCGGGGGCGGGGGAAGGGGGGGGGGGGGGGTTGGCCAGCTCCGCTCGTCTCCCGATGAGCCTCGCGCCTCCTTGGAGCTTTGGCGGCGTCGCGGGGGGCTTGGCCTCTATAGCGCGCACTCGGTTGGTGAAGGTAGGTAGGTTTCTCTATAGTATCTCTCGCTCCCCTCTGTCTCTAGAGTGGTGCAGGAGTGACGATTTTGTTTGGTGTGTGGCCGAAAGCCGTTAACCTGGTTTGTGGGGAGCTCCCGCACCTTTCCTCGAGAGCCGCGGGTGGCATAAAGTGAATGATACACCGTCGCAAAACTCTGCATTGGGTCTCGAGTTCGAATCCCGCAGTTCGACTCGGCGCAAGATTGAAACCCAGACGGGCGTTGTCACTGGTTCGAAACCCACCTTAGCGTTCACCTGCTATCCGCCGGTACCCAAACCGGATGCATGTTGCATCTCCGCACGACCCAGGAATGCAGTTTTGCGACGGTGTATCATTCACTTTATGCCACCGTTGCATATCCGACGGTGTATCATTCACTTTATGCCACCGTTGCATATCCCGTCGGAGGGGCGATCGGCACTGGTTGGCTACCGCGACGTGGGTGGACGCAGAGGCGCAGCGCCTAGACCAGCAGTAAGGTAAGGTAAGGTAAGGTGAACTTCTCCACACACACGAGGTGGTGGGGCAAGGGGGGGCAACCCTCGCGTCTCCACGTCTGACGACAGGAGCCCCACGGCATTCAAAGTGCAAGGCCCAGTGCGCGTGGGTGAGCGGTGTGTGTGTGTGTGTGTGTGTGTGTGTGTGTGTGTGTGTGTGTGTGTGTGTGTGTGTGTGTGTGTGTGTGTGTGTGTGTGTGTCTCACGTCACTGCATCCTCCGCCGGTTCCTCCCGTCGCCTCTTCTGACCAGCAGTACCCTACCAAACCCGGCACCCAAGCCACACAAGTAGTGGGGCAAGTGGAGAAATTTACCTTACCTTACCTTACCTTACACCCAAGCCCAATCACAGAGAAGTCAGGCGCTGCGCTGTGCCCTGGCAGAGAACAAGCAGAGACGCGCCCTCCCGAGAAAAAGAAAAAGAAACGCTCGACGCCGAGCTGGCGCTGTGCGTGGGAAAAAGAAAAACCCTGCGCCGAGCAGGCGCTGTGCGTGGGCGAGGAGGAGGTGCTCGTGCTCTGCGGCGAGTCGCTTATGCTCTTCTCCACCGGCCGGTACGAGGCGTCGCTGCACCGCGTCAGGCGCCAGAGGGTTTAGAGAGACCTCGAGATTCCTCAAGATGGCCCGAGATGACCCGTGAGGGGCGCGCGGGGAGGGGCCTCGGCTGACCTCGGCTGACCTCGGCTTGGCCTCGGCTGACCTCGCGTGATCGCGGTGACCTCGGCTTGGCCTCGGCTGACCTCGGCTGACCTCGGCTTGGCCTCGGCTGACCTCGGGTGATCGCGGGTGACCTCGGCTTGGCCTCGGCTGACCTCGGCTGACCTCGGCTTGGCCTCGGCTGACCTCGGCTGACCGGCTGACCTCGGCTGACCTCGGCTGACCTCGGCTGGGTTACCTACCTACCCCACCGACGCACCCAGCTGACCGAACGCCCCTTCCAGCGATTCGGCCACAGCGCTCGCGGCCCCCGCGATGCCCTTCGCGCCGGCTGCACCCGCCCCACCCACAGCGCCGGCGGCGCCGGCCACGCTCTCCACGCCCGCCGCGCCCGCCGCGCCCGCCCCCTCGACAGCGGCATCGGCGCCCCCCTTGATCGTTGCAAACCGCCCCTTTCCAAACTCGAGACCCTCCATTCCAATCTCGTTGAGCCGTTTTAGGTCAATCGCCGCGCGAGCTACGCGCTCCTTCTCGCTCTTGCCCAACTGCGCCCACCGTATGAAGGCGAGGTTCCTTCGCAGGATGTCGTTGACCTCCGCGGCGAGGCCCTTGTAGGTGTCCTCCTCTCCCGTCTCGTCGTTGACGACGGCCACCTTGGCCAACGCCTCGCCCCAGCAAAGGATGTTGTCAACCTGCATGCACCGGCCGCGGCTCAGCTCTCGCCCCGCTCGAGCGTGCCGCACACGCCGCGATCACGCGCACCTGGTCGATGATGAGCGGCATAAGGGTGTTGAGCACGCCCTTGGAGGCGCTCACGTCGGCCACCTATGCGCAATGCCCGTGTCGACTCATTCAGCTCCTTTGGCACACTCCCGCACCCTCCGGCCCGCCTGGCCAAAATCAACATCGAGGTTGTAGAGCCCAAACACGCCGTCGCAGTCGGTGATGGCAACATCGCCGACGCTGTGCAAGTCGACGTCGAGACCGACAAAGCCTCGCACCGTGAGGGCGGCCGAGCCGGAGCCGAAGGGCAGCTCGCTCCATAACGCACGCTGTGGGCGAGAGCAAGAGTCTTTGAGCATTCGGCTCAAGGGTGGCTTCCGCGGGCGGGGCTCCGCGCAGCCTGAGTCAGAGAGAAGTCGAAGGTTACGCGAGCCTCGATCTGCGTCGCCACCACCATGAGGCGATCCGGAAGCACTCGCCCCTCGACAAAATCGATGTACAGCTGGCGATGCTTGGGCTGTAGCTTGTACCACTCGAAGTCATCCCAGCAGAAGCCTACGCGGTCGTGGTGGGCGCTCGTGTCGCCTCCTCTGTTCCCTCGCCGCGTGCCTCTGCTGTTCCACGCACCATACTTGAGGCTGGTCGGGCTCACCTGACAGGCCGCTCCTCTCATCAGTGGGGTTCGAAGCTACAAAAGGGAGTGTGGGTCCTCCGCAGAGGATGCATGCGCACTCACTTTGTGGACAGTCAAGTTTGTAATCGCCATCGTCGAGCCCGTCAGCACCGACACCTAAGGTGGGGTAAGCTGAAGCAGGGTCGAGGCTGGACTCTCTCGTCTCGTCGACCCATGCGGAACCGGCGCCTCCAGCTGTGAGTCCTCTGGCAGGAAGTGACTCAGATGGATGGGCATCTCCAGATAGTTGATCGCGTCGCGCACAAGGATCGCCGTCGCGGTCGCGGCGCTATTGAGCGCCCAGTTCGCCTTGCAGTCACTGCCTAGCGCCACATCCTTCAGCTTCCACCCATTAGGGTCCTGCAGCGCCTTCGCATACGGAACAAGCTTGCTGTGGTATGGCTTGTAGCAATTCTGGAAGACGTCGACGAAGCAGCATGTGGGGCTCGACCAGGTGCATGGTGCTGGAGGCGGCTTTGTTGGCGGTGTCATTGGCGGCATCGACGGAGCTTCGCTATCCCCCCAGCCGAGCCATTTGGTGCGTTTGCGGATGCTCTCACTCTCCCTGCGCATTTGGCTGCGGATGCCATGGATTGCGAGCAGGGAAAGGAGGAGTATCGGAGGCAGCGCGACTGCCCAGCGTGTAGCATCGCGACGCAACGGACGGGTCAGCATATGGCGGCGGTCTCTCGCTTTACCGGGCCGGGCGTGCGTCCTGAGGGAACTTTGGAGAAAAATAGAGGTTTTGTGTGCGCTCCGAGATCGCCCGAGATGTCGCGGCGGGCGATAAATTTCTTTTCTCGCGATGTCCACCCCGCCGCGCCGCCGCTCGCGCCGCCTCGCCACCGCCTCCACTGCCGCTCCCTCGCCAGACGCGCCGCCGCCCGCCCGCCTGCTCGACCTCCCTAGGGAGCTCCTCGAGCGCGTCCTCTCCCGCTTCGACAGCCCCGTCGACATCGCTTGCGTCGCGGCCGTCTCGCTCCTCTTTCACGCCTCGCTTGCGGAGCAGGGCATCCGCTTGTGGGCGCAAGAGCGCGGCCTCGAGCTGCCGGCGCAGCCCGAGGACGAGGGCTGCGCCATGCGGTGGCTGTGCTATTCGGCGTTGCTGTGCGAGTCCAACCGGCCGGCGAGGGCGGCAGCAGGCGAACGGCACAGCGTCTTCATCGACGGCGAGGGGCGGCTGTCGTCGTGCGGGTCAGTGGCAACGGAGGGCGAGGAGGAGGAGGAGGAGGAGGAGGAGGAGGCATTACCAGGCCCTCTCGGCCACGGCGAGGGCGTGCCGCGGCTCAACACGCCGACCCGCCTGCCGTCCACGCTGGATGACGTGCGCGCCGTGAGCGTGGCAGCTGGAGGCGACCACAGCCTCGCCCTCACCGCTGACAGCGCTGTCTGGAGCTGGGGCTTCGGTTGGAACGGCCGACTGGGCCACGGCGACGAGCAGGACCATTCGCAGCCGAAGAAGATCGAGGCCTTGGCGGGGCGGCGCGTCGTTGCTGTCTCGGCTGGAGACTTCCACAGCCTCGCCCTCACCGTCGATGGCGCCGTCTGGAGCTGGGGCCGCGGAGTCTACGGCCAGCTTGGCCACGGCGACCAGCAGAACCAGCTCCTGCCGAAGAAGGTCGAGGCCTTTGCTGGCCAGCGCGTCGTCGCTGTGTCGGCTGGAGGCGACCACAGCCTCGCCCTCACCGCCGACGGCTCCGTCTGGAGCTGGGGCAGTGGAGACTACGGCAAGCTGGGCCACGGCGACCAGCAGCGCCAGCTGCTGCCGAAGAAGGTCGAGGCCTTGGCTGGGCGGCGCGTCATCACTGTGTCGGCGGGAGGTAGGCACAGCCTCGCCATCGCCGTCGACGGTGCCGTTTGGAGCTGGGGCGATGGAGACTGGGGCAAAAGCTGGGCCACGGCAACCAGCAGGACCAGCTGCTGCCAAAGAAGGTCGGCGCCTTGGCGGGGCGGCGCGTCGTCGCTGTGTCGGCTGGAACCGACCACAGCCTCGCTCGCGCCGCCGACAGCGCCGTCTTTACCTGGGGCGACGGCGTTGATGGCTGCTTGGGCCACGGAGATGACCTGTCGAACCAGCTGCTGCCCAAGAAGATCGAGGCATGGGCGCCGGGGCTGTGAGAAGGGCACTACCTCGGCTGAGCAGCCAACGTGTGGGGCCTGAGGCTGAGGTGGCAGCCGTGGCGGCGGCAGCATGACATGACCTTCTGTGTGGAGCCACCCACTCCGCGTGTCGACACATTACCTCGTCATACGATACACGCACGGCCACGGGGCGACCCCACCGCAACTTTCGGGGGAAAATATCTCTCTACTGTTCTCTCTACTGTACGGATACGCGGACAGAGGAAGGTGAAAAACGAAACGCGATGGGGTTGATTCCGACCGGGCTCGCATATACTGGAGGTGGCGCGATGCGCGATGTTGTGGCACCAGGGCAGCGCCGCCGCGCACATGCGCGCGCTCACCGGTCACCGCTGTGCCTCCCCCCCTCCCTCTCTCTTTACCCCGCGTCCGGCAGGACGGGCACCGAGCCGACGCCGCCGGCCGCCGGCGGCTTGAAGACGATCTCGGCGCCGAGACTCGGAGCGACATCCGGCGCGACACCCGGCGCGACACCCGGCGCGAGCGCAGACCCGAGCGCGGCGAGCGCCGCGCCGCGCCGGCAGGCGGGGGGCGGGTACGGTGCGGCGGCGGGGGCGAGGTGGTGCCGTGGGGCGGCGGCCGCCGGCCGCCGTTCGAACTCGGCGGCGGGGGCGGGGGCCCCAAGGCGCGCGCCGCCGCCGGCAGCGCGGGGCGCGTTCCAGACCGGCCCGCTCGCGCTGCCGCGCCCCCCCCGGTGCGTCGGCTGCCTTGCCCCTACCTCCCCCGACAGCTGCATCCGATCGACCCACCCGAGGAAGCGGCGGCGCTGCGGCTGCGAGATCACGCCTGGCGGTCGAGTGGGGCGGGGGTGAGATCTGGGGAGATCTGGGGAGATCTGGGGAGATCTGGGGAGATCTGGGGAGATCTGGGGAGGTGCGGGGAGATCTGGGAGGTGTGAAGAGATGTGGGGAGATGTGGGGAGATCTGGAGAGATCTGGAGAGATGCCGCGTGGAGATCTGGGGAGATCTGGGGAGGTGCGGGGAGAGATGGGGAGATGTGGGGAGATGTGGGGAGATCTGGGGAGATGCCGCGTGGAGATCTGGGGAGATCTGGGGAGGTGCGGGGAGAGATGGGGAGATGCGGGGAGATGTCACCGAGGGCGTGGTGCAGCAGCTCCTCATCGAGAAGGTCGCACATGCTGCCGTCGATGCCGCCGCGTCGGAATGCGGCGGCGTGCTCCTGCATCCCCATCCGCCGCAGCATCGACTGCACATGCCTCGGCGACATCTCGCGCAGCCTCAGTCGCCGGCCCGACGGCCTTCGAGCACTCCGCTCGGGAAGGCGCGCCTCCACCTGACACTTGCAAAAGGACACTTGCAACATGAAGTGGTCTGGCCGTGTCTGCATTATCATTCTATAACTATTGCTATTGCTATTATTATCATAGTATTATTATTATTATTAGTGTACCAAGTCCCCAGGCTCGTCGCCGCGCCGGTGGGATGCGGAGCCAGCCCCGTGCCTCCCAGCCGCCCCTCCTTTCTCCCGCCCCTCCGCCACAGACACGCCCGCGCTGCGAACCGCCGCCGCCCCCGCCCCCGCCGCCGGCGCCGCCCCCGCCGCCGCCGCCGGCGCCGCCGCCGCCGCCCCTGCCGCCCCCCCTGCTGCCGCCCCCGCCGCCGCCGCTGGCGCCGACACACCCGCAACCGCCGCCCCCGGCGGCGGCGCCGGCTTGAGTTGCGGCTGTTGCGAAAGCGGCCCTGGCGCCGGCGCATCGATGCGAGAGAGGAAGCCGGTCAGCAGCGAGCTCTTGAGCGACTCGATCTCCTACAGCAATCAACGAATTCCTTAATTAACTGCCTCATTAATTGTCGAGCTCCTTGAGCGAGTCGATCTCCGACGCCCCCGCCGCCCGCCCGACCGCCGCAGTTTCCTCCGCCCCCTCCGCCGCCTCCGCCGCCCTTGCCGCCGCCGCAGACGCTGACACCGCCGCGCCGCGCGGCGGCTGCGGCGGCGGCGCCGCCGCCGACGCCGCCCCCGCCATCGGCGCAATGTCGGTGAGGAAGCCCTGCAGCAGGCTGCTTTTGAGCGCCTCGACGTCGGCGGTCGCCGCCTCCTCCGGCGCCTCCGCCGCCGCCGGTGCAGCTGCCGCCGCTGCCGCCAGCGCGTTTGCCGACTGCTGCTGCTGCTGCTGCTGCTGCTGCTGCTGCTGCGGCTGCGGCTGCTGCTGCTGCTGCGGCTGCGGCTGCGGCTGCGGCTGCGGCTGCGGCGGCACCTCCCCCAGCTCGCCGCCAGCGCCGTCCCCGAGCCCGTTGTACCAGTCCGCGCCCTCAAAGAGGTTGTCGTACTGCGCCGCGATGGATTTCCCCGGGCTCGGGCTGCGGCGCGCCCGACGGCGGGCGCTGCCATCGGGGCTCCTCCCGCGCCGGCCCGGACCGCCGCTCGGCAGGTCGCGATCGCCGGGTGAGCGCGGCCGCTCCCGCTCCCTCCGCCGGTCACCACGCTCGCGATCCCTCCAGTCGCGCTCGCGCTCGCGCTCGCCGCTACGGTCACCCGCGCGGTCACGCTCGTTGTCGCCGCCACGGCCGCCGCGAAAGGGCCTGCCGCGATCTCCTCGATCGCGGTCGCCCCTCTCGCGGTCGCCCCTCTCGCGGTCGCCCCTCTCGCGGTCGCCCCGGTCGCGAGGCGCGTCGAGGCGGGCTGCGAGAGCGAGATCGCGACGAGGCGGGCTGCGAGAGCGACCGCGGCGGTCCCGGTCTCTGTCACCCCGCATGGCAACCGCAGTATAAAAAAAGAGAAAAAAGAATTTTACTATCAAGCCCCTCTCACAGCAGACTGGCTCGGACTGGCACTACAAGAGAAAAAAGAACCCGCAGAGTGTGAGTGAGAGGAGCGCGTCCATAGACACCTCACTAGACCCCACATACGGTCTCGTCCGTGCCTCGCAGGCCGGTGAGATTGCTAGAGGTGGAGCAAGATGCTCTAGCCTCACATATCACTTCCTGTCGTCTGTTGTTTGAGTTGTGCCCTTGTTTGTGCCCTTGGCACCGTGGAGTGCTGGGGGGGGCGACATATCAGAAAAAAGTAGAACATATGGCAACAGCACAAATTTTTCTTTCTTTTTGTGTCTCAAATCTGTGTGAGCTCTGTGTCTTGATTTGCCAACAACAAACCTAAAACATGATCCATACATGGGCCCGTCCGAAAAGAAAACCGGCGAGGCACGGACGAGACCGTGTGTGCCTAAAAGAAAGAAAGAAAACAGACAACCCAAGGGAGGGATGGGAGGACGGCACGCCGCCACCACACAGGGATTTTAAGGAGAGGTGTGTGGTGCGCTATCCGTCGCCCACCCTAGGGAGTCTGCCTCTTCCTATCTCTCTTCGCAGTCTCTCGCCGATTCTCGCTACCGTGTGTGCCTCTCTAATGCCGAAAGGCATTCGTGTTTCTTGCGTCCTGCGCCCATCTCCGACCTCGACGCGCCGCCGCCCACCCTCCTCTCCCTGCCGGCCGAGCTCCTCGCCACCGTCCTCCTCCACCTCCCCTCGCCGGAGGACGTCGCCCGGGTCGACTGCGTTTGCAAGGCCTTCCACGACCCGCCTCCGCCGCCTCCCCGCCGCCGCCCGTGTGCTGCACGCAGTCGCTGCTGTGGGACGAGCGGCTGGACCGTGCCAGCCTGCCGCAGCCCGTCGCGGCTGGCTACTCGCACACCGCCTTTGTCAACACGGATGGCTCGCTGCTCACGTGCGGGGTGGATGAGAAGAAGCACGGGGCCGATTATGGCTACCTGGGCCACGGCGAGGGCGTCGCTCGCCTCGCCGTGCCGACGCCGGTTCCCTCGCTGCAAGGGGTGCGCATTCGCAGCGTGTCGGCGAGCGCGTGCCACACGCTGGCGCTCAGCGAGGCCGGCGCGGTGTTCTCCTTTGGCTTCAACGAGGACGGCCAGATAGGGCACGGCAACCCAGGCACCAACGTGTACGTGCCGAAGCAGGTCGAGGCGCTGCGGTCGGTGTGCGTGGCTGCCGTCTCAGCTGGAGGCAGGTACAGCCTCGTTCTCTCTGTGAGTGGAGGCGTGTACTCCTGGGGCGCCGGACTCGTCGGGCAGCTCGGGCATGGTGACGTGGTCGACCAGTTCACGCCCAAGCTCATCGAGGCGCTGCAGACCCGCGTCCTTTCCATTTCAGCGGGCGACTACCACAGCATGGTGCTGGACGAGCACGGGACGGTTCTGACGTTCGGGAACGGTGATGACGGACAGCTGGGGCACGGCAATACCAACAATCTGTGGTTGCCCACGCCGATCCCGGCGCTCGTCGCCCGCGCCATCTCGGCGGGTGAACATCACAGCCTGGCGCTGTCGAGGGACGGCTCCGTCTTCGCGTTCGGCAACAACGCCAACGGACAGCTCGGCCTCGGAGACCGAGAGGACAGGCTCACGCCCACACGCATCCCAGGGCTGCCGGCGGTGAAGGCGGTGTCGGCCGGTGCAGACCACAGCCTCGTCGTGACCTGCGGCGGGGCTGTCTATTCGTTCGGGGATGGCGACATGGGCCAGCTAGGCCACGGCCTAGCTGAAGTTTTCCTTCTACAGCCGACGGAGGTCGAGGCGCTGCGTGGCGTCGGGGCATGCATGGTGGTGGCAGGTTACTTCCACTCTCTCATCGGAGCAAGTGATGGCCGCGCCTTTGGCTTTGGCTGCGGGGAGGACGAGAGGCTCGGCCTCGGCCTTACTGCAGACCAGACATCGCCGCTCGAGTACCCGCATCTCAAGGTCGCCGTCTCTCCGATCCTGAACCTGGACGAGACAGCTTTCATGGCAGAAGGTGGAGGACCACCCCACGAGAGGAAGGAGTGTCTTGATTAGAGCACTAACCACATGTCATGGCTACCGCCGGCTCGACCCCACGATAGCCTCTGGAGGCTGACTTTGAGGCACAGACATCGGACGACGTCGGCGAGTTGAGTCGCGCTCGCGGTAGCCAGATGTGTGACCTCTCATACTAGTATCATCGGCCATGGCCGCAGGAAGCGCGGGGGATTCCGCTGGGAGCAACACGGCGGCTCCGTTGGACGCGTTTTCAAGATTAGCGTGTCAGAGTGAATTGGAACTAGCCAACTATTAGACGATGTGAGCGGCGTCACCCGCGCTGAAAACAAAAGAAGAATTTAAACAAAACAACTCGCTCTCACAGCACACAGGCAAAAGAAGAAAGAGTAAAAAACAGCCTGCGAGAGCGGCGCTGCGCGCCGCCTACCTCGTGCGGGTGGCATCCAAAAACATGTCCATGTCCATGTCCATGGCATGTCATGTATGCTGTAACCATAGGACTCATCCGTGCTTAGTCCTAGGCTTAGTCCCGCTTCGTCGCCGATGCGGCGCATTCGTGTGCTGCGGGCTCTCCGGCGGCGCGGCGCACGTGGCGAGCTGCTCGTGGATGCGCGGGTTCATGTCCGGGTTGGCGTTGGCCAGCCCCCTCGCACACTCGGGCGGTCGGCGCGTGCCGGCTGTCGCCCGCCGGCACGGCAAGTACGCCTGAGGTAAGGTACGGTGAGGTAAGGCAAAACCTCTCCACACACACGAGGTGGTGGGGCAAGGGCCGGGCAGTCCCTCGCGGCTCCACGTCTAGACGACAGAGTGTGAGCGGTGTGTGTGGGCGGGAGGGGGGGGGAAGGGGGGGGTCACAAACACGCCTGGCAGGACCGCCGCTCGAGCGCGTCGACCGCCGCCGCGTGCGACGCGAGCTGCGCGCGGAGAGCGGGGCCTATTGCAATACAAAAGAAACGCGCGCCTCAGAAAAGAAAGATGCGCTGCGGCGGCCGCGCGCGGAAAGCGGGGCCTATTGCAATACAAAAGAAACGCGCGCCTCAGAAAAGAAACATGCGCTGCGGCGGCCGCGCGCGGAAGGCGGGGCCGTCGTGCGCAGCGAGCGTTTCGTCGAACCGCGCGACCTATGGACGCTGTTCACAGTCAGAGGTGTGAAGAGACGCTGTTCACAGCTGGCGTCGAACCGTGCAGCCTATGCACCACCGTTGAGCCAACGCGGTCAACCTTCCTCATGCGTGGACTGTGGCCCGCCGACATGCTGACCGCCTAGTCGAGATCTGGGGAGATATGGCGAGATATGGCGAGAGATGGCGCGACCACCCACATGCCGACCGCGAGAGCATACAGCCGGTGGTCATCGGCCGCCGCTGAGCGCACGAGCGCACGGCAGCGCGGCGTCGCCGGGTCGGCCTCGGAACAGAGGTCGCTCGCCTACACAGGAACGTTCCAGGAACGTTCCAGGAACGGTCCGAGAGAGGTCCCGCCTAAACGCGCAGAGGTCGCTCGCGTTGAGCGCGTGTCATCTCGGGCAATCTCGGGCAATCTCGGGCAATCTCGGGCAATCTCGGGTAGTCTCGGGCAATCTCGGTCAATCTCGGTTAGTCTCGGGTAATCTCGGGTAATATCGGTTAATCTCGGGGAATCTCGGGCAATCTCGGGGAATCTCGGCGCGTGCGTTGAGCGCGTAGCACTTGAGGGCGTCTCGATTCCCGGCACGAGGGCCGCAGCCCCACGCCCCGTCTCCGGCGACCCCCTCGTGCGCCCGGTTTGCGGAATGGTAGGTCGGGCTGAGCCAGCCACCCACAAGCACTGACGCGAGCACGGCGAACTCGCGGAAGCGCTCCGTCGGCGCCACCAAGTCGGCAGTGCGCAGCGCGAGCTCGACGCGCGCCGACTCGCCGGGCGAGAGAGGGCCTCGCTGTCCGGAGAGGTGCCGGGTACTCGTGTAGCCGGAGGCGAGGATGCGCGCCTGCAGGTTGCCCGGCAGAGAGCTCGCGTTGATCTTCTGCCTGCCGCCGAGCGCGGCTTCCCAGAGGTACCAGGACACGTACCACGCGAAGGGCTCGCGCACGCGCAGCACAACCTTGATGCCGCTGCACGCGCCCACCCTCAGCTGGAGAGCACGCAGCTGCGGCAGCTCCTTCTCCCAGAAGCGCGGGCCGACGGGGCCGTGCGCCTCTGCGCACACGCGCGTCCCGCTGCGAAGGATCGATTCGACCTTCCGCCGATCAAAGGCGTAGCCGACAAAGGCGCAGCGGCCGTGCCAGCCTGCGTTCACCTGCTCCAACAGCGTTCGCATCGTCGTGCCGCCATTCTTCTCGACGTGCCGGTCAACGATTGCGGCCGCGCAGCCAGGCCGCCGAAGCCAACTCTCGCCGCATCGCTCGCATGCGGGATGGCCACCGTACTGAACAGGGAGGTGCTCCGGCGGGCAGGGCGGGCAGGAGGAGTTCATGGAACACAACCCATGAGCGCCGCCAGAGAAAAAAGAAACACCCTCAGGTTATCTGCGTTACACACACACACACACACACAAACACACACACTATTAATAATCGGGTAATAATTATTAATTATTAATCATCGGGCGGGGGCGCGGCGCGGCGGCGAGCGGCGCGAGGCGGCGGCGCGGCGAGGCAGCGGGCGACGCAGTGCGGGGCGGCGCGGCGGCGGGTGGTATAATTGTTTATTAATTAATTAATAATGAATTAATAATTGTCGGACGGCGGCGCGGCGCGGCGACGGGCGGCGCGGAGCGGGCGGCGGCGCGGCGCGGCGCGGCGGCGGGCGACGCAGGGGCGGGGCGGCGCGGCCACCTGCACTGACCTTTTGTCTCTGGTGGCGCGACTGCGCGGCTCGATTTAGTTATTCTTCTGGGGTAACCTGGAGGGATATGAGTTGACCTCGAGTACAGTATTCCACGTCCTAACCTAATTAGTTAATTCATTAATTAATTACGTATTGTATTCCGCGCTGGGTATTCGTAAGTATTCCAGGAAGGGAGGGCGCGACGCGGAGCTGTCTCGACGCAGTGTACCACCACCCACGCTGTAGATGGACAGAGAATAGTTCCCTTCCCCCCTCGGAGGGGGCCGGGCGAGGCGCACCCCGAGGGCCCCCCCTCTTTCCCCTTCCCCCCTCGGAGGGGGCCGGGCGAGGCGTAACCCGAGGGCCCTCTTCCCTGACCCCGCCCGCCTGCCCGCCTGCCCTGCCCGCCTGGCCCTGGAGTGATGTGTACGCCTACTCAGGGTGTGTGGCAGCCCGCTGGCTGTGTGTCTTGTGAGCTTGTTTGTGTCTGTGTGTCGCTCGTGCGTGTCGTCATCATCTGTCTTGCGTCCACCCATACCGCGTTGGTGTCCAGTCCGAGCCTGACTGTTCTTCACCTTCCTACCTACCTACTATCTGCGTTGTTGAGCCAGGACTGTGTCTTGTGAGCCTGTTTGTGTCTTTGTGTCGCTCGTGCGTGTCGTCATCATCTGTCTCGCGTCCACCCATACCGCGTTGGTGTCCAGTCCGAGCCTGACTGTTGTTCATCTTTCTACATACATACATACATAGGACTCAACATACTCGGGCTTGCAATCCCAAACTGTCACTCCCCTTTCTCCCGGCCGGGGTGGGGCGGGGCGCGCGCGGGTGGCGGCGGGTGTGCGGGATGTCTGCGGGCCCGAGAGCGATATGCCATGTCCGCCTTGCTTTGTTTCCTAACATCGAAGGCTAAGCTCAAAAAAAGAAAGAAAAGACTCGAGGAGATCACGCACAATCGTGAAAGGGAATTGCTGCCAAGGGGAGATCACGCACAATCGTGAAAGGGAATTGCTGTCAATTCGAGAGTACTTAACCCACTTTTTCGTCTTGAGCGTCTACTTCGCAAGTTTGGTGTTTGTTTGTGCTGTGAGTCGCGGCCAGTAAGCAGTTTGCTGTGAGCCCAAATCAGAACATGCATGCTCATCGTCTACCTACACACAGAATGCTGCGGGTACGCGTTCGGCCGCTGTGAAGACCTCTGTCCCGCTCCTGTGAGGACCTCGGCGAGGCATGAGGACCTTTGTGTTTCATTGAGGACCTCTTCGTCTGGGGCATTCAAGCGCCTTGCTTGCGTCTCTCATCCCTGTTACTTTGCTGTCAGTGCGCCGTGGCAAGTGCCTAAGCAGAGATGTTGCGTTCGTTGGGAGCTGCCTCTCAGATCCCCGCAACGTCCAGGAATGTCCTCCTGTGAGGACCTCGACGGCGAGGCGTGAGGACCTCTCCACAGTTTGAGGACCTCTTCGTCTGGGCAGCATCGAGAATCCCCCTCGCCTCTCTCAATATCCTGCTGCTACCAGTCGCCGTGGCAAGTCATGCGCGTAGCATATAAGATGTGGCCTCAGCTTCCTCGCATCGAGGTCGTCTGTCTGGATGTGGATCGATCGACGTGTAGGGAACTTGCTAGCATATAAGATGTGCATGGTGAATAATGGGTGCCTCGCACTCAGCTGGACGAGCAGTTGAGGTGGGTGTGTGTGTGTGTGTGGTAAAAATTAAATAAAATGAACTCGGGGGCACAGGACGCGGCACAAACGGGGTACACCAAAAGGCACGGGCTGCGTGCACGGCGTTCACTCGAACGCCATGCACATGGCGCGGAGCAGCCCCGGGTTGGTGTCGAACCCGAGCGGGTCCTCCTCCCAATCCCGGCGCCCACCCTCCGCGTCGTCCTGCTCATCGTGCGCCGAGCACCCTGCCGAGGCACAGGATCGTCCCCTTGGGAACGCCTGCCCCTCGCGCGCGTGGGGTAACCCGCGCACGGGGAAGCTTCACGGGTTCGAGTCGCCAAACATTGAGCAGCGGAGGTGTGCCGAGGGGGACCGGGAGGCGGTAAGCCGTCGTCGCCCGGCGCTGCATGCAACAAAACACAAAGCACGTCTCGCGCGCGCGTGAACAGGGCTCCAGGCCCCAAATGACGTGTGAGTGTTAGAGTTGTTTGGTATTGCTAAAAATCTCTCTCTCTCTGCATGCAGCACCGTGGCGATGGCGCTAAGAGGTTCCTCTTTTCCGCGCCCCCCCCGCAAGGCGCGCGATACACACGACGTTTGCCGTGATGTGCGTCGATGAGTGTGGTGGTCCAGCTTGTGACAAAAATCTTATCTCACCTGGTGAATTGTGTGTGGGGTTTTGAACGCGAGAGTAGCAGACGTTTGTGCCGCGTCCCGTGTCCCCAAGTTCATTTAACATTTAGTAGCAGCAGACGTTGTTGTCCTATGCGCGGGGCTTCTCGCGCGGGGACCGAAGACGTACCCCCCCCTCAACCCCCGCCCGCAGGCCGTGAATTAATAAATAAGTGTGAGCTGGTCGCAGCAGGGTCGGGGAAGGGGGGTGGGGTGGGTGCGTCGGTCGCGTCGGCATTGTGAGAGTACCTTCTCTAGAACAAGTTATTTAGGACCACCCCCCTACCGCCGCCCAGTACGTGCTCCGCAGCTGAGCCCACGCACCCCACAGCAGCTCAGGGACACAATGAGCTCGCATACGAGTGCTGGTACGCACAGCTCGACGCGTACTCGAATGCTGCCACTGTCATTCTAGCCGGCGAGCGGCGGCGTCACAGCGTCGACTCTCGCATCGCGATGAGACGCACTGCTTGCCCAGACGCGCGCCTTGGCGCGCTCCTGTGGTGCAGGGGGAAGGCCAGCGGTCGTGCTGCGCAGGCCCGGCCGTCTGGATGAAGGGAGCAGCAGCTGGCGCTCAACAGCAGCGCTGGCGAGCAGCGCAGCCACACCACACTCCCGCCAAGCCACGTGTCATTTCCCGCCAAGATTTGGCGCCAAAATGGCACTTTAGTGTCCACCTAGCCACGTGGTCGCGGCCTGAAGCTCCAAGCTTCTGGGAGTGAGGTCCCACATCACAGGGCTCCATTTGGCTCAGTTGGAGGCACCGTCCAATCGTTCGCCGATGTCCGGAACCGGGTGGTCCTAAATAAGAGGGCTCCCGCGGCGATCAACACCGCAACTCCTTTTCTAAATTTCACCACTCTTCTTACGCGCGACGACGCTACATCCTCCACCAAACCTCACACTTTTACTCACCCTCGGACATGCTTGCACCGTCATCCTGCGCGTCTGATGCGTCGCGCATCTGCTCGTCACCCTCGTGCGTACCGTCGCCGTTGGGACGGTCGTTGCTCGCGCCGTTGGGAAACGCAAGGCGCACCTTTTTGTTTTGAAGACCTCGATACTTAGCGCACTGCTCGGGCGAGAGCTCAAACACGTGCCGCGTCTCGTCTTCGCCGCCGGCTACGCGCACAGACACAGTACGCGGCAGCGCCGACACGTCAACCCGCGTGTACGTCAGCGACGGGTCCCGCACGCCGCACGAGGCGCATGCGTGCAGCGGCAGCGCGTGCGCCATGCGCTCGTCGCTCCACTCGCCCAGCAGCCGCCGCTTCGTCTCGTCGGAGACGTGCACGCAGCGCTGCAGCAGCGCCGCCGTCTCGTCCTCGGGCCGCTCCAGGTCCATGACGACGTTCGTCGAGGCGTGGAAGCGCGTCTCCAGGTCGATGGCCGCCTGCTCGGCCGCGGCGAGCTTGCACATGCCGCACACCGCGTGCGCCGGGCAGCCGCACTGGCCGCGTTGTGGGCGCACGGTCTTGGCGACCGCCGGCGCTGCGCGCCGGTCGTGCTGCTCACGCTGCCGGCGGCGCTGGTCGCGCGCCTGCCGATCGCGCGTGTTCGCGGCGGCTGCATCTCCTGCTCGTTTCGCTCGCACCCGAGCGGCTGTCGCCAGGCGCTTCAGGTCGGCGGTGCTGCGCGCGCGGCCGTCGGCCAGGCACAGCCACATGTCCTCCTCCTCGGCAGGCTCGCACGGCTTGCCGTCGAACTGCGGCTGGCGCCCGCGACGATGCTTCGCCCAGGCCGGGCACGATGGTGCCGCGACGAGCGGCGTCGAGGCGACGGCCATCGATGGGTCCAGAAGACTTGGAGACACTTCTCGACCAAAAAATCAAAAAAATCGAGCACAATTGCGTTACATGGGCATGGCCGGGGTTTCTGCACCGAACGATCTTACTTTCGATCTATCGAAAGTGTTGATCGATAACTTGTTCTAGAGAAGGTAAGGCTTTGTAGGAGGTGAGAGGAGAGAAACTGCGACCGTTTTTAAGTCGGGTAAAAGACAGTCAGATCCATCCCGCTGGATGGGGTGCAGCGCAACGCGCGTCCCGAGCGATGGAGGCGCTACTCAAGCTCCGAGGCGAGGGCTCAGGCCGGATCTACAGCCTGCTCGCCGCGGCGAGAAAGGCCGGGACCGATCTCCTCTACCATATCTCTGAGGCCGCTCGCGCCCGTGCCCTGACGCTGCTACGTGTCCTGCTGCCAGAGCCGCGCGAGGAGATAACAACGATTGTGGTGCACTCGGCATCGGCGGTCCCCAAGATGGACGTCATAGGCCACTCGGACACGTATGTGCAGGTAAGCGCCGTCATCGACGGCCGCCTCGCCTTCTCCGCAGCCACACCCATAATCAAGGGCACCGCCGACCCGGTTTGGGAGCACGAGATACCGCTGGATGGGTTCTCCCAGAACCCGAGCGACGTGACGGTGCGGTTCGAGATGATGGACAAGGATCACCTGCTTCCGACCGACCGCACCAACGAGTTTATCGGCCAGGCGGAGCTCCGGCTGGCAGAGCTGCTCAAGCAGCCGAGCCACACCCTACTCATGCAGAACCGCAGCGGAGACCCCGTGCTCCGGTGGTCGAACCCGCCGACCCCATGCGAGCTCAAGGTTTCGGCGCAGCTGGGCGGGCGGCCGTTGAGCGGCGCGGCAGCCTCTTCCGCCACGAAGCAGTACCCGAAACACATCTTCATGATGTCTCGTGGCACGCGCGGCGATGTACAGCCCTTTTTGGCCCTCGCGCGCGGTATGGCGTCGCAAAGGGGCTGGTTGGTGACGATCTGCACTGAGCTGGCGTGGAAGGACTTTGTGGAGGGCAAGGCGACTGACGGCTGCGGCGACGGCGCGGTGCGCTTCCTACCTTCGGGCGGGGACACGGCGCTGCAGACCTCCACCTGGGTCGCTGGCCAGGCAATGAAGGCAAAGACGGAGGTGATGCAGACCATCATGATGGCCGCCGCCGAGTCCAATTTCTTCGCCTCCGCGCCCGTGATTGCTACGATGATTGAGCGCGCCGGCACCGAGCAGGCCATCGACCTGCTCGTCCCGGGGTTCACGCTCACTGGTGTCGGCCTGCTGCTCTCCGAGCGCTTCGAGATCCCGCTCGCGGCCTTCTGCCTGCAGCCCACGTGCATCCCGAGCCGTGACCCCGAGTGGCGGAACGTGATCCCCATCGAGTCGCACGGCCTCAGCCTCCTCGAGCGAGTGGAGAAGGGCTACTTTACCTCGCACGCGGCGCTGCAATCCCTAAAGACCTGCTTCGAATCGGCTCCAATGAGCTCCCTCTCGCTCCCAAAGCTGCGCGGCTATTACGGCCTCTCCCCCTCCCATACCTGGCGCTCCGTCTTCGAGCAGGACATCCCGATGGTGATTCCAATGCTGCCGGGCACCTTTGACATGCCCGGCGACTGGAACCCGCGAATCGAGATGACCGACTTCATCTTTCTCCGCTCCTCTGCGCCCGGCGCCGGCAAGCTCAGCCAAGACGTCGCTCAGTTCTGCGACGAAGCGCGGAAGGCCGGCCGCAAGCTCGTACTCATGACCTTCTCATCAATGCCGGTGCCGCGCGCAGTCATGCTCGAGTGCGCTGTCAAGATGGTAGACCATTGCAAGCATGCGATGAGCCTGATTTACGTCGGCCCGCAGCAGCAGGATAAGCCACCCAAGGCGCTTATGGCGCGCACCGACGAGCTCAAGGCCGACGGCAAGCTGCTCGAGGCGGCGCGAGCCGACTTTGGCGTGCTCTTCCGAGAGATGGACGCATTCATCGTCCACGGCGGGCTCGGATCGACGGTGGAGGCGATGCGCATGAAGAAGCCGGTCTGCGTCACCGGCATCCTGCTCATGGACCAGCGGTTTTGGGGCAAGGTCTGCCACGAGAAGGGCATCGGCCCGCCGCCCGTCCACATCGACGACTTCCACAAGTCGTGCGTGGACTTTGTCGACGAGGCGCTCGATCCGCAGTCGAGCTGGCTCGCTGCGGCGGCGACGCTGGAGATGGGCGACGAGGCTGACGACGGCGTGGCCGCAAACGTAAACCACTTTGCGGAGCTGATGGAGTCGGGGCTAAAGCCTGTGCGTGCGTGCCGCGGCTCGTGGGTCGAGGCGGCGGATCAGTGCCGCGTCAGCCGAAGCTCTGCGGCGGAAGCCGAGGCCGAGACGGCCTCAGCTGCGTGAACCGAGCGAGGTGACACCCACGGCCACGCCCATGAGCCATGTGTGCCCCATGATACTGGGACCAGTAGAGCCGTACTCATAAACTAAAGGCGGGGCGTCCGGCCAGATCCGCCGGCGGGGTTAAACAAGGCACGTCCTCGCTTGCTACCGCACGGCTTATCACGCCAGACGCGCACGTAGAGCCACTCCGCACTTCGACGCGAGACTCTTGCGCGCGCGGCGCGGCACCGGCAGAGACACGAAACGATCGAAGTTACACACAAAATGGTAGGGCAAGGGGGGGCGACCCTCGCATCTTCACACCCGGACACGGGCAGGAGCCCCACGGCATTCAAAGTGCAAGCACTGGCCCGGTGCACGTGGGTGAGCAGCCTGTGCCCCCCTCCACCTCCCGACAAACCGCTAGCGCACTCTCTCGTGAAGCGCAACGTTGAACGTACGTGTGGCGCTGCTGCATGCAAATGGGTAGGGAGAAAGGAGTCCGTACAGTACGCGGGTCGCACTAACAGCCGGAGGCGAATGGGGGCGGCCGATACGGTATTGAACAATCGATTCAGTGCGTGAGCCAGTGAGCGAACACTCGCACTCGCGCGCGCTCAGAAGAAGCCGAACACGGCACTGAGCGGGTCGTACGGGAAGCGCGGGTGGAAGTTGGACTTGATCTGGGCGGTCGAGAACTCCTGTCAGCAGAGAGGGCGTAGAGGTGTGTGAGGGACTTGCGGGGCAAAGTCAACACGACGGCTGCCGTCACACGCACTCTCCCTCTCCCTCTCGCTCGCTCTCTCGGTGTGTGTGTCTCGTCCATTCTCGTTTGGAGCGCTCCTTGGTGCAGAGGGCGCGATATGGGAGGTCTGGGGAGATATGGAGATATGGGAGATGTGAGGAGAGATTAGCGAGTAGGTAAACGACGAATCATTAGTTAGCTGGCGCTCCTTGGTGCAGAGGTGCGCGATGAGCAGCGCCAGCGCCGGGTCGACGCCCGCCTTGGTCGTGAATAATTAATCGTTCAAATTAGTCACTAACTAATGATTAATTAGGGTCGACGCCCGCCTTGGTCGTGATGGCGGGCGAAGAAACGTGACAAATAATCAGTAACAGAAGTGATAATAGTGATGGACATAATAGCAACAACAACAACAATGCGCCGCCCGCCTTGGTCGTGATGGTCGGAGGGTCCTTCGTGAACCAGCCGCCGCGCTGCTGCACGTCGAAGAACTTGGTGCCGTAGTTGTTGGTCCAGTCGGTCGAGTCACCTGCCAATGATGAATTCACTGTTACCACCAATCTCATTGGTGCTGCAGTTGTTGGTCCAGTCGGTCGAGTCGCCTGCCAATGATGAATTCACTGTTACCACCAATCTCATTGGTGCTGCAGTTGTTGGTCCAGTCGGTCGAGTCGCCTGCCAATGATGATGAGTTCACTGTTACCACCAATCTCATTGGTGCTGCAGTTGTTGGTCCAGTCGGTCGAGTCGCCTGCCAATGATGAATTCACTGTTACCACCAATCTCATTGGTGCTGCAGTTGTTGGTCCAGTCGGCCGAGTCGCCGTGCACAGTGAACACGACGGCTGCCCCGAACTGGTCGACCACCGGCTGCCCCGACGCCAGGTCGCACACGGCGAACTGGACGAAGTCGACGTACTCGCGCTCGTGCCTGTTGATAGCTGACTGACCACGACTTAGTCCTTGTCAATCATAAAGTCGACGCACACGCGCCCGTGTGCCTCTCCCAGCGGCGGCGCGTGCCCACCTGCACCCGCTGCCGGTTCTCGCCCTCGCCGCGCTCCTACAAGGCTTGAGCACGCCAACTCTGTAGTGTTCCGAGCACCGCGCCAGCCCACGGGCTGCGAGTGCAGCGAGTAGTACCGCCGAAGACGGCGGAATACAAGTCGGCTCCGTGTCCTCTCGAGCGCTGGCTGGGACGTGGCGTGACCATAGACTCCGCTTCTAGGGCCGAGATCTGGGGAGATATGGGGAGATACTCCGCTTCTAGGGCCCGCTGCTCCCGCTCGGGAGATATGGGGAGATACGGGGGGAGATATGGGGAGATGTTCCGCTTCTAGCAGCCCGAGATATGGGGAGATATGGGGGAGATATGGGGGAGATACGGGGAGATAGTCCGCTTCTAGGGCTGCGCTCCTCGTAGATCGGCTCCTCCACCTGACGGGAGATATGGGGAGATATGGGGAGATATGGGGAGACACAGATGGGCTCCTCCACCGATCGGTTTGCTGTTTGCCGGTCGCGCGCGTGCCCCGGCGTGGGGTGTGCCTGTCCTGTCGCCGCGGTGTCTACTTTACCTCGAAGAGAGCACATGTGCATGTTGTGCATGTGCATGCGCATGTGCATGTGCATGTGCATGTGCATGTGCATGTATGTGTGGGGGGTGCTTGTCCTGTCGCCCCTGTGTGCTGCGTGGCGCGCCCCCGCCCAATGTGCATGCCTCCAGGAGAGCACGTGTGTGTGTGTGTGTGTGTGTGTGTGTGTGTGTGTGTGTGTGTGTGTGTGTGTGTGTGTGTGTGTGTGTGTGTGCGTGCGTGTGTGTGTGTGTGTGTGTGTGAATGAGTGATGGAGCGAGCGAGTGATGGAGCGAGCGTGTGTGTGTGTGCGAGTGTGAGTGAGTGTCCCCCACCTCGAAGTAGCGCGCGACACCGGTGCCCTGCGCGTACACCACCAGCTTGACCGGGAAACCGAACCCCTTGCGCACCGTCGAGGAGAGCGACGCCTATACGACAGTGACGAACAATATAATATTGTTCGCCTATAAAAATGTTCGCCTCGGAGAGAGAGATCGTCGCCTCGCTCCGCATGTTCCAGTTGAGGAAGAGGTGCCGTAATCTCGGGCAATCTCGGGCAATCTCGGGTAATCTCGCCTCGGTCCGCATGTTCCAGTTGAGGAAGAGGGAGGTGCGGTAGTCGCGGTCCCAGCCGCCGCCGTGCGAGATGTAGTAGCCTGCAGTCGGACACGCCAGCATCAGGGCCGGAGGACGGGCTCGTGCCGTGTACTCAGAGCACCGCGTGAATGCAAGGCAGCGAATACAGCTGAACGCAGATGAATGCGGCTGCATTCTAGGGGCACTCGCCGTCGTCGTAGTGCGGCCGGTCAAACATCGAGTCGATGAAGCCGGTGAAGGCGAACTGGAGCATGCTGCCGCCGACGTCGCGGAGCTGCTGCTGGAAGAAGGGCTGGTCGATGAAGTCGGACCGCCACAGCACCTGCCCCTTGTTCTCGTCGTTCGGGTCGAGGCCGCGAACAAAGTTCTCGACCTCCATCTGGACGTTGCCGCCCCACTTGGAGCCCGACTTGTTGAGGAAGAACCAGCGCTCGTTCCGGTCCTCCGTGCCGAGCCCGCGGTACGCGAGGTAGTCGCGGCTCGCGATCGCAGCCTGATCGATCGTGACGACGATCTGCTCGTCCTCCTCCGGATCGGGAATGATGACGTCGGGCGCGTCAGGCACAACGTCGCGCGTGCCGCAGCAGCAGGAGCAGAGCGCGCCCATGAAAGAGGGGAGGAGGCAGAAGCAAAGGATCCAGCAAACGAGGCGGACGTCAGTGCGGGTTAAAATTCTTTTTTTGAGAGCGCCGCCTTCACATCCCGAAGAGAGAGAGAGAGAGAGAGAGAGAAAAACTCGTCTCGTGGCACACCAAGGGCTTATGCTCTGTCGAGACGTGAGGCGTATGCGCCCAGGAGGGGAGGGTGCATGCGTAACGACGCTGCTAGAGATGCCTTTCGGGGCCCAGAGATAAAACTTCTGATGCCATGCGTGACCTAGTAGTGTCCCCAGCTATGGGCGTGTCCACGTTGGAGCCAGGTGTGGTGTGGACGCGAGAATAGCTCCGCCGTTCATGGAGGCAACCGATGCGAGTCGACTGGTGTGTGTCGTCGTGGTTTCGTATCAAGAATTCTCTCTCTCATCCCGAAGCAGCGTACCACCACCCACGCTGTAGATGGACAGACAACTGCAATTCCCTTCCCCCCTCGGAGGGGGCCGGATGGAGGCGCACCCCGAGGGCCCCCCTCTTTCCCCTTCCCCCCTCGATGGGGCATCTCATTTTTTCGCGCTTGTGCGTACGTTCCGGCCGTCCGGGCGCGCCGCGATGGTTGTGTCCCGATTGCCATCTCCGAACAAGGCCCAGCCGCTGCTCCGGCGCCTTTCGCGCGCAGCGCATGCTGCGGCATCCAGGGCGCAGGATCTTCTCACGACACACCCGGGCGTTGAGCGTTGCGTTGCATTCTCGCCAGACTCGCAGGCCGTGCATGCCGCCGTGCTGCCGCGCCCCAACGCGCTGTTTACGCCATGGCATGGCATGCACGGCAACGCCCAGACTGATGGCGAAGCCGACGAGACGCTGATAGACTTCATCAATCGTGTGCTGCGCGGCGGCGAAATCAAGCGCATCAGCATCGTCTCGTCCGCCGCGAAGCTTCCAGCGGCGCATCACGAGCGAGTGTCTCCTTGATCCAAACGCTGAATTCAATCTTTTTCAGTGTATGTAGCTCTTTTTTGTGCCTTCATTTATTTTTTAAAAGCTGTTCATGGATCGAAAAATGAATTCTTTTTTCACTTAAGTTGTAGCATGTTGTTGAGCACTTTGGTATTGCTAAAAATCTCTCTCTCTGAGCACTTGAGCACTTGATAGGGAGAGAGATTTTTTGCAGTACCAAACAACTCTAACTTTTGTTGATAGGGTCGATTCCGCATGGTACGGGACCCCTAGATCGTCTCGCCCTCCCTCACTGGTGTGTTCATTGATTGGGGGGGGTCATAACAAACACGGTACAGGATCGAGGTGCACGCTGCCAAAGCAGTATCGTCCCCCCTCTCCCCCGACGGCGATGGCGATGTGACCGATCGAGCTACAATCCAGGCCCCAGACTCCTCACCACTTCCCCGGCTCGCCCAGGACCGCAAAGCGCCGCCCGCGCGCCCAATTGACCCCCCAACCAACCCACTTGCTGTCCCTCAATCGCCACCCGCCAGATATACTGCCCTCAACCACTCAATACTCTCACCCTCCAGACCCGGACAGTCCAGGTACAGGGAAAGTGGGGAGCGGGGCCCGATCCAAGGAGCACCCCGTCGGCCCGGGAGGGCTGTGAATTTCGGCGCGGGCGGAAGGCTGCCTGCAGACGCTCAGCCCCCGGCTGAGCTGCCGAATCCTCCCGGCTAATCCCCTGACCTGCCGCCTGAAACGGGACAACATTACACCACCTCACACACACTCCCCCCTCAGGGCTAAGCAGTGCGCAAGTCCACCCGAACTCCAGGCGAGGCGTCGACCACTCCGTCGGAATAGCTCTGTCAGTGGCTGCACTAGACGCCCATTAGATGGCGCGCGGCGCGGGCGGATGACTGGAAGAGAAAATGCGGAGATGTTAGCTCGCAGGTAGATGTGCTCAGCCAGGGGTAAGGGATGAGGGGAATGTGTCAGTGTGAGGGGTGCACCAACCGCAGAGCGTTGTGTTTTGCCTTTAAGACTTGAACAGTTTTTGTTGCCACAGTGCACACAGCGTTCGCTTTCTCACTGAACTCTGAAGCATACGCGGTGACCGCCGAGACCGGCGGCGCTTCTCCGCGTTCTGGCGGCCGGCGGCGTGTGGGGAAGGGGGCGGGGGGCCCTGGGGCAAATCCTGCGGCGGTTAGGAGCTCTTGGGCGACACCGCGCGCGAACGCACCTGTAGAGACCTGTAGCGTTAACGCTTAAGGGCCTGTACCACTCCCTCCCTCCCAAAAGGCACACGCCAGGCAGCCAGGCGGGCGTTGGCTGGCTAGCAGCTATCCAAACTGAGGGACCGTCCAGCCTCCGAAGAACGACTTCATGCCGTACCCCAGGTCTTTCATAGCTGCGAGGTTCGATTTGTTGTAGGAGAGGTTCCACAGCGCCCCCGCGGCATACTCCTTCTGCCTGTCCGTGCCGTCGCGAGCCAGCGCCACCAGCGGCGCGATGCCGCCCGCCCTCGCGATCGCTACCTTGTTGTCGTCGTTGATAGCGAGGCTCCTCAGCGCCCCCGCGGCCCGCTCCTTCTGCCCGTCCGAGCCGTCGCGAGCCAGCGCCACCAGCGGCGCGATGCCGCCCGCCCTCGCGATCGCCACCTGGTTGTCGTCGTTGCGAGCGAGGTTCGCCAGCGCCGCCGCGGCCTCCTGCTGCTGCCCGTCCGTGCCGTCGCGAGCCAGCGCCACCAGCGGCGCGATGCCGCCCGCCTCCCTAATCGCCACCCTGTTGTCGGCGTTGTTAGCGAGGTTCCTCAGCGCCGCCGCGGCCTGCTCCTTCTGCCCGTCCGTGCCGTCGCGAGCCAGCGCCACCAGCGGCGCGATGCCGCCCGCCCTCGCGATCGCCACCTTGTTGTCGGCGTTGACAGCGAGGTTCCGCAGCGCAAACGCGGCCGCATTCTTCTGCCCGTCCGAGCCGTCGCGAGCCAGCGCCACCAGAGGCGCGATGCCGCCCGCCCTCGCGATCGCCACCTGGTTGTCGTCGTTGCGAGCGAGGTTCGCCAGCGCCGCCGCGGCCTCCTGCTGCTGCCCGTCCGTGCCGTCGCGAGCCAGCGCCACCAGCGGCGCGATGCCGCCCGCCTCCCTAATCGCCACCCTGTTGTCGGCGTTGTTAGCGAGGTTCCTCAGCGCCGCCGCGGCATACTCCTTCTGCCCGTCCGTGCCGTCGCGAGCCAGCGCGACTAGCGACGCGATGCCGCCCGCCTTTGCGATCGCCACCTTGTTCTCATCGTTGCAAGCGAGGATACACAGCGCCCCCGCGGCCGCCTTCTTCTGCCCGTCCGTGCCGCCGCGAGCCAGCGCCACCAGAGGCGCGATGCCGCCCGCCCTCGCGATCGCCACCCTGTTGTCGGCGTTCTTGTAAGCGAGGTTCCCCAGCGCAAACGCGGCCGCATTCTTCTGCCCGTCCGAGCCGTCGCGAGCCAGCGCCACCAGAGGCGCGATGCCGCCCGCCCTCGCGATCGCCACCTTGTTGTCGGCGTTGAGAGCGAGGTTCCCCAGCGCCCTCGCGGCCGCCTCCTTCTGCCTGGTCGTGCCGTCGCGAGCCAGCGCCACCAGCGGCGCGATGCCGCCCGCCTTCGCAATCGCCACCTTGGTGTTATCGGAGTCGCTAGCGAGGTTCGCCAGCGCCCCCGCGGCCTCCTCCTTCTGCCCGTCCATGCCGTCGCGAGCCAACGCCACCAGCGGCGCGAAATCACCCGCATTCGCACGCGCCACCAGAGCTGGCACGTCGGGCACCGAGGCGGCGAGCTCCGCGTCAGACTCCGCCTGCGGGCAGCCAATCTCGGGTCAACCTCTCGAAATCTCATGAGAAGGAGTCCGGTCCGACTCTTGTCCGCCTGCAGCTCCCGCGAGGCGTCGTCGGACGAGCTACTGCGCTCCGCCGTTTGCTTCTCAGAGCGACCGAGAGCCTCGCGGCGCACCCGCTCCTTCTCATCTGCCACTGCTGCAGACGCTGCTGCCTCCCGCCGCGAGCGCTCTTCCGCCTCGCGCGCACCCGGGCCACCCGACGCCAGCCCCTGCTCCAGCACCGCCGCCGACGGCCGCCGCCCCGGGGCCTCCTGGAGACAGCCCTCGACCCACGAGCCGAGCCAGCCGCTCGCGGACTTGCCCTCTTCGATCGCGCGCTGCCGCTTTGTCGGGTCGAGCGCCACGTTGCCAATCGTGCGGCCAAGCAGAAGCTCGGCGAGGATGCAGCCGACGGCCCACACGTCGTCAGCCGGCCCGTACCGCTTCTCCGCGATCTTCTCCGGCGACATGTATGCGTTCGTGCCCACCTTGGTCTTGGTGCGCGACCGCGAGGCGGAAGAGACGCACGCGAGCCCAAAGTCGATGATCTTTGCGCGGCCCGTCGAGTCGAGCATCACGTTGGCCGGCTTGAGGTCGCGGTGCTGCAGGTTGAGCGAGTGCATGTACGCGAGGCCTGAGGCAACCTGCTGCACCCACGTGGCCGCTGCGCTCGGCGGCTGCGGTGGCGTGATAATCTTCAGCTCCAGCGAGCCCCCCGAAAGCAGCTCCATGACGATGATAAACTGCGACTTGTCCTCCTCGTCCTCGTCACGCGCCTTGACCGTGTGCCAGAAGGAGTCGAAGTAGCGCACCGTGTGGGGGTGGTCGAGCTTTGCCAGCAGCCGCGCCTCCATCGCCAGCTTCGACTGCGGCAACTCCGAGTCTCTGTCGTCTATGAACTTAACCGCGTACCGCAGCTCGTCGATACCGTCCTTCTTGCGCATACGGTACGTGCTGCCGAACGTCCCGCTGCCAAGCCACGCGGCGGGCTTGTCCTTCTTGCTGGGGGGCGCGTCCGGCTTGCGGTCGTACGCGTAGAGCGACAGTCGTGAGATCTGGGTCGACTGCACTAGGCCCATCGAAAGGTTCGTCAGCTTTTCGAGGATCTGGTCCTGTTTGATGTTCTGCTGCTGGTTCAGCTCTAACACCTTGTCAAGCTTGAGGCCGTGCTTCTCAACTGCCTCCCGCACCTCAGCGGGAAGCTCGCGCAGCTCGCTACGGAAGTCGGCGTCCGACACGCCCGAGGAGACGGCGATGCCGCGTACCACCTCGGAGTCCTTCTCGAGCGCGTCCGTGTCGACAGCCTCGCCCAGCGCCTTCCGCTCGGCCACCTGCCGCTCCACCTCCGCCTCGACAGCGTACTCGCGCGCCTGCAGCCGGGCGTCGATGTGCGCGTCGCGAGCGAGGTTGTAGAACTTGAGCAGGAAGTCGAGCTGGTCGGTGATATCCGAGTCGAGCTGCGAGAGCGTGGTGCGCCTGCCCACGTTGAGCACGTGTCGCAGCCAGCCCTGCTTGCCCAAGGCATCAACAGCCGAGCGCACGTCCTCGAGCAGCCGCTGCAACTCGCGCATCCGGTCCTCGACGCTCGCGCGGCTCTTCGCGTCCATGCGCTCCACGTTTTGAGCCATGAGCTGCAGCAGCTCGAGGACGTCGATCGTGCGCTGTGCAGCGGACAGCACATCGTTGATCACAGTTTGCGACGCTTGCACGACTTCAAGGACGCCGCGAGCCGCGCTGCAAACGGCCGGCAGGAGTGGTAACCCAGATTTTTCGTTGAGCTTGAGTACGGAGTCGGCAATCTTCAGACCCGTCTCCACCTTGTCGAGCGCTCGCCCCGCCGACGCGGGCCGCTCGACAACAGACTCCATTGATCAAGGAGCGACGCCGCGCAGCAAGCAATCGCGTTACGCTTTCAAAAAGAATTTAAACAAAACAACTCTCTCTCACAGCAGACAGGCTCGACACAGGTGCGAACTGGCGCGTGCTAGTACTATCACCGGCACACAAAAAGAATTCTTAAGATACAAGCCTCTCTCACAGCACACTGGCACGACAAGGGCGCAGACTGGCGCGGACTGGCACACACACAGGCTCACCACCGGAGCCGCCTAAGCGACTCCGTTAAGAACGGCAATGCACTCCGCACCATGCACAATGCCGCTCTCCCCGCACGCTAGCTCGTTCACCGTCTGCCACGCCACGGCGGTGTGGAGGACGACAGACAAGCGCTGCATCTGCAGCCCGTGCCAGTTCTTGGTGGTCCATGTGACCTCGTCCAGGTGCTGAGCGTGCGAAAGTTTGTTGCTCAGCTGGTTCGCCGCCTCCCTCAGGGTGCTGCGAACCTCCTTTCCAAAGCCTCCGAAAGCCTCAAAATCAAACAAACGTATTGACCTTCACGGCCAGTTCTCCTAAACGGCCAGAGGTCCTCACACAGCCAGAGCGAGGTCCTCACACAAACGCGTGGCGAGGCCCTCAGAGGTACACACACACACACACACACACACACACACACACACACACACACACAGCAGACAGGCTCGGGCTGCATGCTCAATGATGATGAAAGGAAGGAAAGAGGCCGACCAACGACTGGGGCCCGTGCCCCCCCCGGCCCCCTCCTCCGCCCCCGCCCCCGCACTCGCACTTGCACTCGCACTCGCGCTCGCGCTCTGCCCCCGCGTGCCCGCTGCCTGCGCCCCTTTTCCCCTCACCCTCCGCCCTCCCTTCCCCGCGGCCCAACCCGCCCTTTGAGGCTTCGGCCACTTATGCTTCGGCCACCGAGGCTTCGGCCAACGAGGCTTCGGCCAACGAGGCTTCGGCCAACAAAAAAATCCACCCTCGCCCTCCGCCCGCCCTTGCCTCAGCCCAGCCCTCCGCCCTCCGCCCTCGCCCTCCGGTCTTTGCCCTGGCCGGCCTGGCTGGCATCTCTTCAACGCGCCAAGTGGGAGGGAAGTGGACGGGGCCCTGAGCCGACCTAGCCCTAAATGGAATGGGGCGCCCAACACGTGCCGGATTACCGTGCCCGTTGCACGTCGGGCACGGCCTTTCGGTTCGTGAAGGGTCGGTGCGTGTCGTGCCCCCCTCGGCCTTGGTGAGCAGTCACATCCGTGCTCCCCGCCATCTCCATCGCCTGGTCTGCGAATGCTTATCAGCCACGAAAGGAGAGCGTGGCCGAGGGCTGCATAGACTCGATCGCAAGATCCCACCCAGAAAGGCACCTACCTCCGCCTCTGTCTGGACAGGGTGGCCCGCACTAATCGACCCCTGTTAAGTGACTCGTTCGCTTACCACCCACTGTGATTTTGTGTGAGCTCTGTGTCTTGCTTCGCCAACAACATACCTACAACTGGGACACATGCTCAACACTGCAGATTGTTATTCAATCGTTCATTGCGGTCGAGTTCGTAAAACGGAAACGGACCTGTCGAGACGCGAACGGCATGTCGAGACTGGTTATCAAGCCGATCGCCAGCCGTCAAGCCCCACCAGACATGCCGGTGCTCCTCCGCCCCCCTCGCCAACCATCTTTGACCCTCTCCCATTTGGCATCCCTTCAGCGGCTAACCGCGGCGGCGGCACGGCGTGCTCAAGAGGCGGAACAGGCTGCGAGGGTCGCTGAGCTTGTGCAGGGACGCGAGTCCACTGCGCTGAGCGCCGCTCCCCTGGAGATAACGGTGGAGGATGCTGCGGAGAGAGTACAAAAGCAGCTGAAGCGATTGCGGGACGAAGCGCCGGTGCCGGTGACAGAGGCCTGGCGCCGGCAGATCAAAGCCGTTCTGAGCACAGGAGCGGGAGGCTTCGCAAGTGGCGCTGACGGGGGGAGAGAACCATCGTTGGCCTATGCAGGGGCCTCGATGCCGACGGTGGCAGTGCCAGTTTCAAACTTCTTGCAGGTGGCAGAAGCAGAGGCATCCGGCGCAGGAGGAGACTTCGGCCTGCTCAGCAGCGGCCAATTTCAAGCAAGGCTTTGGCGTGGGGGAGAACTCATCTCCCTCGGACACTTTGACACGGCGGTGGAGGCGGCGGCGGCATACGCGCGGGCGGTCGCAGTGGAAGGCGCGCCGAAGGAGACGATGGCTGGGGAGTCGGCGGCGCCGGCGCCAGTGATGGCGACTAAGGGGGCATCAGGTTTGGCGCCAGCCGCTGCCTCTGAAACTTCGCCTTCTCCCTCTCCACTTGGACCATCGCCGCCACCGCCGCCCTCGCCGGCTGAGGGTGCTTGGTGGTAATGGGGCAGGGCGCGGTGTGCGAGCGCGTCTCTTCGCTGGTCGCGGCGTGTCGGTGTGAGCTGTGACACGCACGGGGGTGCCCCCCACATGTGCGCACACATCAGGCACACACACCCCCACGCCGCGCAACGACACGGGTCAGTGTGTAAAGGCTGACCTAAAGATCCGAGAGCGGCCGCGGACTTTTGGAGGACTCACCCAGATAAGTTTAAACGCACACAGCCGCTCCTGGAACTGCAGCTAGTTGAGACATGCAATCACGCCCCCAGCGCGGCGGCGCCTGGCGGCGGCGTGAGTCCGCGCGGTGCGTGCGAGAGAAAGAGCGTGGTCCCGCGCGCATGCTGCGGCGAGGCGAGGTCTGAGGAGAGAGGAAGGCGGAGGGGTGCTGGGCCGGGACTGGAGCGTCGGGCTGAGCGAGGTGGCGCCGCTCTCGCGTGGAGAGCTGTCCCGGTGAGGTACTGATGAGAGGGTTTGGGGGTTGGGCGGGAAAGGGGGGGGGGGGGGGGTCGTACTGGCGGCTGCGCTCGGCGCGGCAGCTCACCCCGGCGCGCGGCCCCACGTGCTCTGACCGAGGTGTGGCGGCGGCGAGAGCGGCGCGGCGGCGCGGGCGGCGTCGTCGTGCATCATGACCAGCTGCGCGCGCACCTTGGCTCAGTGAGGAATGGAGTGAGGAGGCAGTTCAGCGCCGCCGTTGCACGAACACCAGCCGCGCGCGCGCCTGGTCCAGCGTCCTCCGCAGCGGCGAGAGAGGGTACTGCCCGCGCAGCGCCGCGGCGCCGTCGCCGCGTGACGTGTCGGCGCCGGCGACGACGTCGCGCACCTTGCTCCAGCGCGACGGCGTCGACGTGGCCGACGCCGGCGTGGCGAGCCCGCCCCGCCGCTTGCTGCTTGACTTTGGCGTCGGTGGAGCGGAGGGCAGCTCGTCGGGCGGCGTCACCGGAGGGGGGCGCAAGTCCGCGATCGCGGCCGTCGCGCCGAGCGGGGGCGACGGCGACGGGGCGGCGGCGGCGCCGCCACCCGCCGCGGCGGCGGCGGCGGCCGCGCGTCGGGTCTGCGCGCTGCGCGGCCCGTCGGGGCCCAGGTATGTTGCGTGGTGGGAGGAGTAGGCGCGAGTGATGGCGTAGGCGACGCCGTGGAAGAGGAAGCACCTGCGGAGGTCGCATGTGCGCCCGACGTGGGCTTGCGTGCGCGCCATCCGCCTCCAGGCGACGCGCGCGGGGAAGGTTGGAGGTGCGGGGAGAGGTGGGGAGGTGTGGGGAGGTGTGGGGAGATGTGGGGAGATGTGGGGAGATGCGGGGAGGTGTGGGGAGATGCGGGGAGATGTGGGGGGATGCGGCGAGGTGTGGGGAGGTGTGGGGAGGTGTGGGGAGGTGTGGGGAGATGTGGGGAGATGTGGGGAGATGCGGGGAGATGTGGGGAGGTGTGGGGAGATGTGGGGGGATGCGGCGAGATGTGGGGAGGTGTGGGGAGATGCGGGGAGATGTGGGCGAGATGCATCGCAGAGCAGGCGTTCGCTCCGTGCTCGCGCGCGAAGAAGCGCTTGTCCGCGATGATGGTCGGGACGAAGACCGCCTCGTTGATGAAGAGCGCGTTGACGACGAGGAAGAGGAAGCCTACCGCGCCCACCCACGCGGCTGAGCCCGCACACCGGATTCGACACCTCTGGAGGTAGGGGAGGAAGAGGAGGCCGCGGTGCGCAAAGTCAACGTTGGTGCGCGCCACCAGCGCCTAACGCCGTGCACGCGCACACCTCAGGGCGGGGGGGGCGGGGAAGGCAGCCGCGTGGCGGCGGAGTGGTACACAGCGGAGTGCGCCTCCTCTCGAGCGCTAGTTGGACGGACAAGAGCACGCGCTCCGCTTCCAAAGCCGCGTGTCCGCCTCTAGGGACCGGCTGCTCCGGTGGTGTGCCGGTGTGTGTGCTAGTCTGCGCCAGTCCGCGCCCTCGTCGTGCCCCGTGGGCTGTGAGAGAGGCGCGTGTGTTTGAGGCATTCGAGGGGCCACGGCGCCTGGCCGCACTCCGCCACGTCGTCGGCCACGGTGTATCCGCCGTCGGCGCTGTCTGCCATGTCCAAGTGGCAGACGCACCCCTGCACCCCGTCGCCGCTACCGAGGCTGGCCGAGCAGCCCATGTCGTCGCGGTAGACGGAGGCGGGCTGCGCGTCGAGCGGCGGCTGCGCGACGAGGGGAGGGAAGGGGAGGGACCCTTCTCCACACACACACACACACACACACAGAGAGAGTGAGGTGGGGCGAGGGCCAGGCGACCCTCGCGTCTCCACACCGGGACACTTCCTAGACACTTCCTAGACCTCGCGGCTCCACACCGGGACACGGGCGGGAGCCGGCGCGGCATCTCAGAGCGCAAGGCCCAACGCACGCTGGGTGAGCGGGCCTGCGCGACGAGGAGGTACGTGGAGGCGTTGAGGGCGAGCACGAAGCCGTTGAGGACCTGAGGAGAGCGGGGTGCCGCGTCGTGAGCCAGCCTCCTCCAGGAATGGCGCGAGGGACGAGGCTGCACTGAAGCCCACCCAAGTGAACTTGTACCCGAAGTCGCGCAGGTCCAGCGTCCACTGCCTCCGCACGAGCACACCGACCTGGTGCAGCAGCGGGTTTGGGTAGCCGCCGCCGCCGCCGCCGCCGCAGCAGCCGCCGCGCCCCTCCTCCTCCTGCGGCGCCTTGAGCGACTGGGCCGCCAGGTCCGCCAGCGCGGGATGGCGGCCGATCTCGACCGAGTCGATCTCCGCCTCGATCTCGCGCCTACCGCACGGCCCACGGGACTGAACCCACGCTGGGTTCGGCACGGCGGAGGTATGGGACGCGTCGCATCTCGCGCCGGAGGTCCGACTCTGCGAAGCGCGCCACCAAGTCGACCGCCTCGCCGCCGTCCTCGTCCGCGTCCGCCTCCTTGGTGTGCGTGAGGTCGACGACCACATCGGCGGGGTTCACCTGCCGGGGGGGGGACGCGTCTCGGACACGCCGTGCAGACGTGTCCCGACGCAATGTCTCGACGGCCCACGGCGGCGCGAGCTCACCGACGGCGGGCACGGCACGCCGCAGCCGCGAAGAAAGTCGGGCACCTGCGAGTCCACTGGCACCCTCCCCGCCAGAGCCGTCGCCTCCAAGCGTGGGTTCAGTCCCGTGGGTGGTGCGGTAGACAGTGCGGGGCACCTGCGCCACCGGCCCGCAGTACATCGTCTCGCCCGCCTTGACCAGCAGCAGCTGGTGGAAGAGCCGGAACGTCTCGGCGCGCGGCTGGTGGATGGTGCAGGCGAGGGTGCGGCCGCGGTCCGCGAAGCGGCGGAGCGCCGCGACCACCTAGCAGCGTGAAGACACTCGCATCCGCATGGCAGGGCGCGCCGCCGGCGTGCCTTGCGAGCAGCAGCGGCCGCGCACCGAGATCTCGCCGGGCGAGGAGCGAGGTGGTCGGGTGCGCGGGCCACGTAATCGGCGACGGGCGCGGATCCGGCCCACCTCAGGCGCGCAAGCACAGCGGCGACGGAGGAGTGCAAGCGGCACTTCGAGAGCCGCGGCAGCAGGCAGACGGCGCCGACGAGCGGTCCGGCGCCCTGCCGTGACGGGAGGGTACACATATGGAGGGGCTCGCTGACCGCGGCCGCGGCGAGAGGGCTGAGAGATGGCGGAAGCGGTGCCGGCGAGCAGTGGGGCTCTCAGCGCCCGTCCGGCCGGTAAGAAGAAAAACTCTTACGCATCGCTGCCGGGGTGAGTTTTCTTTCTTTCTTTTGGGGGCATTAAAGCCCTTTTTTCTTTGTTCCCACCCTCTTGGATTCGCCAGGCTTCCAGGGTACGACGGCTCTGAAAGGCGGCGCCGGCGGGCGTTCGCGCCAAAATAGATGCAAACCAACCGCGGTTGGTTTGCATCTTCTAAAAAGAAATTCATTCGGCTGATGAGGCCAGGGGGGGGGGGTGAAGCGGGAAATAAAAGCACGGGGGGAAGGGGGGGGGTGAAGGGGGGGGGGGGGTTGAAAAAGTGAAAACCAGGGGAAGGACCGAAAGGGTGATGGCGCCTCCGTTTGAGCGTGCCCTGTACGCCCAGAATTGGACGGGGGGACCTATGCGCGCATGGACTTTCCTTTTCCTTTTTTCGAAAAAGAAATTGCCCAGAAAAAGAAACACACCGACCCAGCAGGACCCGGGGAAGTACTCACCGTGACGAAATCTCGGAAAACAAGATCTGGGAGAGAGAGAGAGAGAGAGAGAGAGAGAGAGAGAGAGAGAGAGAGAGAGAGATTTTTCTAGAGATTTTTTTGGGATCCGGTGCACACCGAGCGGAACGAATTTCTTTTTCGTGGGTGTCCGCCAGAGGGTGGGTTCGGACACGCGCACACACACGTTGTTTTGTTTTGCACACGCCGCCGTTGCAAGGCGAGCCGCCCAACCAACGAAGGTCCAAGCCCTCTTTCGACCGACCCTCCCCCCCCCCCCCTTCTCCTCCTACCCCCCCACACCACCACCACGCACCACCACCATCCCCCTACCCCCCCCCCACCCCCGCTCGAAAACAGCCCTTTCTTTTAAACGAAATCCAAAAACCTGCTGCAAGGTCCACGCGACGGCGCCTCTCTAGCGTCGGAGGACCGAGGCAACACAAATCCAGAGAAACGGGGTGCTGCTTCCGATGCGGATTGGAGAGCCCGGTCCCGCAAACGCTGGACGGGCCAGCGGCTGGCACGCGCCGGCAACCCCGGCGGCGCGGCGGCCTCATCGCGCTCGTCGTCTGCGGCCACCGCTCGGCGTCGCTGCGTGCGTCGGCGATCGCGCTTGGCTGTGAGGTGGGACGGCGGCATGGTGCGCGCGGGCGTGGGGGTGGTGCGGGGTGTGCGTGCCAGCAAGCCTAGTTTCACCTCCACTCACCAGTCAGGCGCGCCGACGTGCTGCCCGAGCGCGTTTGGGGGCCCAGCAGCTCCTCGCGAGGCGCCTCTTTGGAAGGTGCCACACCCCTATCCTAGCCGCGCGCGAGTTGAGCTCCGATTTGCGCTCGTATTCGCACACGCCCGACGCTATTAGCTGAGGATCGACCATCCTCCGCTAGCAGGGCTTCGTCGGGCGCGTCTTCGTCGAGCGGTGGTGCATCTCGCCCTCCTGGCAGCCCGCCCGCGGCCCACACCGACGCCCTCACGTGCTCACCCTGGTCGTAGGTGCGTTCTTTTTGCGTGGCCCCCGTCGGCACGGGGCGCTGCGCGATGGCTGGGCTTGTCGCCGGGCGAGCTAGCCCCTCAGCCGGCCGCGGAGCGGAGGTGCGAAATCGAGGCGGCGCGGCCCGGCGCGCAGCCTGTCCGGCCGGCGCGCGCATGGTTCCGTAGACCGTCTAGTGCCTCACTGGGACTCCCGACTCCAGCGATACGGTGTACGTGGCCGGTGTGGTACTGGGACTGGGCAGCCTTGGGGTCGGCGGAGACCGCCGTCTAGCGGTCGCACTAGTCGGATATCGTTTGACCTGTTTGTTCAACGGTTGGTTGACCGTGGTTTATGACCCTCAGAATTATATTCATGGGGTTTGGGTCTCTGATCGATAGCGCCTGTAACTTGCCACAAGCATGCTTTACAAATAAAGTCCAGCGGAGCGGGACTCGCAGAACCGCCGTCCGCGCGCGCGCTGTGAACAGAGTGCCATGGTCGAACGTTTTGATTGACGACCGTCGAACACGTGACGGTCCAGTAACCGAACCGCACGGCGCCGCGCCTGACCAGCCCGTTGGGGCTCGGGGCCGGGCTCGCACACAGCCGCTGTGAGCGGCGTTTTATTTGGACCAGCTGTCGAGACACTGTCGAGCGTTGAGATGCTGAGAATGTGCCCGCGGTGCGCGGAGCTCCACCTGAGTCGGGAAAATCGGAAAGTCGTGAGGGACGTCTCGTGTGAAATGTGTGCGTGTGCTCTGTGCTCGAGGCACGCCTGGAGGCTAAGCGCTCTCACTGTCGGTTCGTGCGTAAGTAAAAGTGGGGCGTATAGCAGAAGTGTGGAAGTCCATGCACGCACCCGGGTTGACCCAGACCGGCCGTTCACACGGTGAGCCGCGCGTGTGCACTCCTCTGCATGCTCCTGCTGCCAGCGCGGCACGCAGCGCCGCCAAAGCGGCTTGACGGCAAAAAGAAAAGTCACGCCTCGAGGGGGGAAGAGAGACGCCGTTCACACCTTGTGCTGCGATTAGGTCTCGATGCGCCGTCTCGTCAGATGCTATTCATTCATGGCGTGCGCGTGTGTGCTGCACTACACGCCCGGCGCTGTGCAGCGCCTTTGGGCCTGCGTTGGGGCGGCAAGAAGGTGCGCTCACCAAAGAGAATGACGTAAATGGCCGTACGCTTGTTCACGGATCACGCTCGGATCAAGGTTCTGTCCGTGCTCCGCATGTGCTCTGACCTCTGTTAATGTTAAAGTTTTAACGCCGCGTCATACGTTGTAGGGGCTAAGGGTCGTCGTCGGAGACCGCGTATACAACTTAGAACCGCGAAATTTGAGACGTGTAGCATGCAGGTTGCAGTCTGCATAGAGAGCATCTGCACCATACAGACCCTCTCTGCACACACTGTGGGTGGGATTCTGTATTCCGCACCTGCATTGTGCATTCCGTACGACTCTTTTTTTGGCCTCTCCGACCTATATTGGGCGAGCTTTTGCGTTCTGCACCTGCATCTTGCATCGTACTCTGTTCGCTCTCTCCTGGCTGTGGGTGAGTTTTTGCATTCTGCATCCTGCATCCTGCATCCTGCACGTCTCTCACCCTGTAGCTTTGGGCCCGCTTCTGCATTCTGCATCCTGCATCTGCATCCTGCATCTGCATCCTGCATCGGGTGCAAGTCCAGCTTTGGCCGATTCTGCATTCTGCATTCTGCATCTGCATCCTGCATCGGGTGCCAAAAGTACAACACACATACAAGTCCGTTCCGGACATCAGGATTTAATCTGCGCTCCTTTTTCGCATGGACAAGTCTGCGGCTATGATAGTTCGCCAGAGCTCACACGCTGTTCCCTAGGCCCTGCCGGGGGCTGCTATGTGCGACCGCCGGGCCGCGTCGCGCCGTTGGCGCTCCTCAGGAGGTGATAGCGCGGAATGCAGATGAATCGGCCCCAAAGCTGTGACTGCACCCGATGCAGGATGCAGATGCAGAATGCAGAATGCAGAGTCGGGCCCAAAGCCACAGATGCCTTGCACCCGATGCAGAATGCAGGATGCGGATGCAAGAGCTGTCAGCGCTGCACCCGACGGACAAGCTCTTTGGGTCTCTGATTTTGCATCCTGCATTCTGCATCCTGCATCCTGCACCATGCAGAAGAATCAATTTTGGGTCCGATTCTGCATCCTGCATCCTGCATTCTGCATGCTGCACATACAGACACTAAACATTTTGGGCTGGGTTCATCTTCATTCTGCATTCTGCATCTGCATTCTGCATATTATTCAGAGAAATACGGAATGTAGAATTTTACGGAATGTAGAACCAGCCCGTCTATTGCAGACGCTAATCCATGCAGTCCAGACTGCAACCTGCATGCTACAAGAGTGCGACATTTCAGTGCAATCCCTGGTGCAAAGGAGCGTCGAGCGTCGTGCGTGCCAGTGGGGCTGTCTGCTCTCTCGCCGGGGAGCTCTGGCACACCGCTCACCCCACGCGCCCACGCCGCGCAACGACACGGGGTCCGTCGACGGGAGTGTGTAAAGGCTGACCTAAAGATCCGAGAGCGGCCGCGGACTTTTGGAGGACTCACCCAGATAAGTTTAAACGCACACAGCCGCTCCAGGAACTGCAGCTAGTTGAGACATGCAATCACGGCGGCGCCTGGCGGCGGCGTGAGTCCGCGCGGTGCGTGCGAGAGAAGGAGCGTGGTCCCGCGCGCATGCTGCGGCGAGGCGAGGTCTGAGAGAGAGGAAGGCGGAGGGATGCTGGGCCGGGACTGGAGCGTCGGGCTGAGCGAGGTGGCGCCGCTCTCGCGTGGAGAGCTGTCCCGGTGAGGTACTGATGAGAGGGTTTGGGGGTTGGGCGGGAAAGGGGGGGGGGGGGGGGTCGTACTGGCGGCTGCGCTCGGCGCGGCAGCTCACCCCGGCGCGCGGCCCCACGTGCTCTGACCGAGGTGTGGCGGCGGCGAGAGCGGCGCGGCGGCGCGGGCGGCGTCGTCGTGCATCATGACCAGCTGCGCGCGCACCTTGGCTCAGTGAGGAATGGAGTGAGGAGGCAGTTCAGCGCCGCCGTTGCACGAACACCAGCCGCGCGCGCGCCTGGTCCAGCGTCCTCCGCAGCGGCGAGAGAGGGTACTGCCCGCGCAGCGCCGCGGCGCCGTCGCCGCGTGACGTGTCGGCGCCGGCGACGACGTCGCGCACCTTGCTCCAGCGCGACGGCGTCGACGTGGCCGACGCCGGCGTGGCGAGCCCGCCCCGCCGCTTGCTGCTTGACTTTGGCGTCGGTGGAGCGGAGGGCAGCTCGTCGGGCGGCGTCACCGGAGGGGGGCGCAAGTCCGCGATCGCGGCCGTCGCGCCGAGCGGTGGCGACGGCGACGGGGCGGCGGCGGCGCCGCCACCCGCCGCGGCGGCGGCGGCGGCCGCGCGTCGGGTCTGCGCGCTGCGCGGCCCGTCGGGGCCCAGGTAGGTTGCGTGGTGGGAGGAGTAGGCGCGAGTGATGGCGTAGGCGACGCCGTGGAAGAGGAAGCACCTGCGGAGCGCGCATGTGCGCCCGACGTGGGCTTGCGTGCGCGCCATCCGCCTCCAGGCGACGCGCGCGGGGAAGGTTGGAGGTGCGGGGAGAGGTGCGGAGGGGTGGGGAGAGAGGAGGGAGAGGTGGGGAGAGGAGGTGGGGAGGTGTGGGGAGGTGTGGGGAGGGGTGGGGAGGGGTGGGGAGAGGAGGTGGGGAGGAGTGGGGAGGGGTGGGGAGGGGTGGGGAGGGGTGGGGAGAGGTGGGGGGAGGTGGGGGGAGGGGTGGGGAGGGGTGGGGAGGGGTGAGGAGGGGTGGGGAGGGGTGGGGGGAGGGGTGGGGAGAGGTGGGGAGGGGGAGAGGCACCACGCGTAGAGGACGAAGCAGAAGGCGAAGACGAGCCGGTCCTCGACGTTCTCGCCGGCGCCCGTCATGACGGTGCCGAGCTGCTGCGAGTTGATGATTGCGTAGTAGCCGTACGTGAAGACGGACGACCAGGCGAGCCACAGCAGGTAGGGCGGGATGGCGGCGATCGGGAGGAAGAAGCCGCAGACGTTCTGGTAGAGGAGCACCGCGCAGCCGAAGGCGGTGGTGGCGGCGCCGAGCCCGGGCATGAGCGTGGTGATGAGCATGGCGACCTATGTAGGCACGGGGTGTGCGAGGGGGGAGGATGGTAGGGAGCCGGAGGAGGGGGGGGGGGGGGGGAGGGGGGGGGGGGCAAGGTGCGGCCAGCCTCCCGACCGGGGAGATATGGGGAGATATGGGGAGATATGGCGAGGTGCGGCCAGCCTCCCGACCGGGGAGATATGGCGAGATATGGCGAGATATGGGGAGATATGGCGAGGTGCGGCCAGCCTCCCGACCGGCGAGATATGGCGAGATATGGGGAGATATGGGGAGATATGGCGAGGTGCGGCCAGCCTCCCGACCGGCGAGCCGGCGCGGTGAACTGGCTCGGGCAATCTCGGGGGAGAGCTCGGGCAATCTCGGGGAGAGCTCGGGCAATCTCGGCGAGATCTCGACCGCGGAGCCGGCGATCTCGGGCAATCTCGGGGGGATCTCGACCGCGGAGCCGGCGAAGCCCATCCCGAGCTCGGGCAATCTCGGGGCGATCTCGGGCAATCTCGGGGAGATCTCGACCGCGGAGCCGGCGAAGCCCATCCCAATCTCGGGGAGATCTCGGGCAATCTCGGCGAAATCTCGACCGCGGAGCCGGCGAAGCCCATCCCGCCGGTGGCGAAGGCGGCGGCGAGGTAGGCCGTGGCGTCGAGGCGGAGCTGGCCGAGGAAGTAGAAGCAGGGCGTGTAGAAGAGCGCCTTGAGCGCCGCGGTGAGCCCGAGCTTGACCAGCCAGGCGAGGTGCCTGAGTGAGGAGGAAGGAGTGGTGACTCAGAGTGGGCTGCGCCGGTCCGCCGCGTGGCGAGCAAGGCGGCGTGCCAGGCGAGGACAGAGTAGGCGCGCGCTCCTGCGAGGGGAGAGGTGGGGAGGTGTGGCGAGATGTTGGGGGATGCGGGGAGATGTGGGGAGGTGTGGGGAGATGTGGGGAGGTGTGGCGAGATGTTGGGAGGTGTGGGGAGATGTGGGGAGGTGTGGGGGGATGTGTCGAGATGTGGCGAGATATGGGGAGGTGTGGGGAGATGTGGGGAGGTGTGGCGAGATGTGGCGAGATGTAGGGAGATGTGGGGAGATGTGGCGAGATGTGGGGAGGTGTGGGGGGATGCGGGGAGATGTGGGGAGATGTGGGGGGATGCGGGGAGATGTGGGGAGGTGTGGGGAGATGTGGGGAGGTGTGGGGAGATGCGGGGAGATGTGGCGAGATGCATCGCAGAGCAGGCGTTCGCTCCGTGCTCGCGCGCGAAGAAGCGCTTGTCCGCGATGATGGTCGGGACGAAGACCGCCTCGTTGATGAAGAGCGCGTTGACGACGAGGAAGAGGAAGCCTACCGCGCCACCCACGCCGCTGAGCCCGCACACCGGATTCGACACCTCTGGAGGTAGGGGAGGAAGAGGAGGCCGCGGTGCGCAAAGTCAACGTTGGTGCGCGCCACCAGCGCCTAACGCCGTGCACGCGCACACCTCAAGGCGGGGGGGGCGGGGAAGGCAGCCGCGTGGCGGCGGAGTGGTACACAGCCGAGTGCGCCTCCTCTCGAGCGCTAGTTGGACGGACAAGAGCACGCGCTCCGCTTCCAAAGCCGCGTGTCCGCCTCTAGGGACCGGTGGTGTGCCGGTGTGCGTGCTAGTCTGCGCCAGTCCGCGCCCTCGTCGTGCCCCGTGGGCTGTGAGAGAGGCGCGTGTGTTTGAAGCATTCGAGGGGCCACGGCGCCTGGCCGCACTCCGCCACGTCGTCGGCCACGGTGTATCCGCCGTCGGCGCTGTCTGCCATGTCCAAGTGGCAGACGCACCCCTGCACCCCGTCGCCGCTACCGAGGCTCGCCGAGCAGCCCATGTCGTCGCGGTAGACGGAGGCGGGCTGCGCGTCGAGCGGCGGCTGCGCGACGAGGGGAGGGAAGGGGAGGGACACTTCTCCACACACACACACACAGAGTGTGGTGGGGCGAGGGCCAGGCGACCCTCGCGTCTCCACACCGGGACACTTCCTAGACACTTCCTAGACACTTCCTAGACCTCGCGGCTCCACACCGGGACACGGGCGGGAGCCGGCGCGGCATCTCAGAGCGCAAGGCCCAGTGCACGCTGGGTGAGCGGGCCTGCGCGACGAGGAGGTACGTGGAGGCGTTCAGGGCGAGCACGAAGCCGTTGAGGACCTGAGAGGAGCGGGGTGCCGCGTCGTGAGCCAGCCTCCTCCAGGAATGGCGCGAGGGACGAGGCTGCACTGAAGCCCACCCAAGTGAACTTGTACCCGAAGTCGCGCAAGTCCAGCGTCCACTGCCTCCGCACGAGCACACCGACCTGGTGCAGCAGCGGGTTTGGGTAGCCGCCGCCGCCGCCGCCGCCGCAGCAGCCGCCGCGCCCCTCCTCCTCCTGCGGCGCCTTGAGCGACTGGGCCGCCAGGTCCGCCAGCGCGGGATGGCGGCCGATCTCGACCGAGTCGATCTCCGCCTCGATCTCGCGCCTACCGCACGGCCCACGGGACTGAACCCACGCTGGGTTCGGCACGGCGGAGGTATGGGACGCGTCGCATCTCGCGCCGGAGGTCCGACTCTGCGAAGCGCGCCACCAAGTCGACCGCCTCGCCGCCGTCCTCGTCCGCGTCCGCCTCCTTGGTGTGCGTGAGGTCGACGACCACATCGGCGGGGTTCACCTGCCGGGGGGACAACGCGTCTCGGACACGCCGTGCAGACGTGTCCCGACGCAATGTCTCGACGGCCCACGGCGGCGCGAGCTCACCGACGGCGGGCACTGCACGCCGCAGCCGCGAAGAAAGTCGGGCACCTGCGAGTCCACTGGCACCGTCCCCGCCAGGGCCGTCGCCTCCAAGCGTGGGTTCAGTCCCGTGGGTGGTGCGGTAGACAGTGCGGGGCACCTGCGCCACCGGCCCGCAGTACATCGTCTCGCCCGCCTTGACCAGCAGCAGCTGGTGGAAGAGCCGGAACGTCTCGGCGCGCGGCTGGTGGATGGTGCAGGCGAGGGTGCGGCCGCGGTCCGCGAAGCGGCGGAGCGCCGCGACCACCTAGCAGTGCGAAGGCACTCGCATCCGCATGGCAGGGCGCGCCGCCGGCGTGCCTTGCGAGCAGCAGCGGCCGCGCACCGAGATCTCGCCGGGCGAGGAGCGAGGTGGTCGGGTGCGCGGGCCACGTAATCGGCGACGGGCGCGGATCCGGCCCACCTCAGGCGTGCAAGCACAGCGGCGACGGAGGAGTGCAAGCGGCACTTCGAGAGCCGCGGCAGCAGGCAGACGGCGCCGACGAGCGGTCCGGCGCCCTGCCGTGACGGGAGGGTACACATATGGAGGGGCTCGCTGACCGCGGCCGCGGCATCGCGGCGAGAGGGCTGAGAGATGGCGGAAGCGGTGCCGGCGAGCCAGTAGTGGGGCTCAGCGCCCGTCCGGCCGGTAAGAAGAAAAACTGGTGCACTAGCATCGGTAAGAAGAAAAACGCTTGCCGCCATCGCTCCCGGGGTGAGTTTTCTTTCTTTCTTTTGGGGGCATTAAAGCCCTTTTTTCTTGGTTCCCACCATCTTGGCGTGCAAGCCCCACCCGGGTGGCGGGTGGACCAAGGGGCGTTCCGCCCTGCTTGCTCTAGGTGAAACGTCTGAAGGACGAAGAAAGCACGAAGGTGCGACCAACTCAGCACGACGGGCGGAGAAGACGGGCACTAGACCAGGAAGGACTGGGAGAGTGTGAATGGAGGGACACGTGTGGTTCAGACGTCCCCCCCCTCGACGTAGTCGAGTCACTCACATGGATAGAGAGGAGAGTGTCCCTCTCGACGGGGCATGGACTGGATGACATGCACTGGAGAGTCTATGGCTCTCGCGGGTGGGGGCGGGGCGGCGCTGTTCGCGCTCGCGGCCGACGCCCGCGCTCCGTCTCGGTGACGGATTGGTAACGGAGATTCACTTCCCATCCGACTGGGAGGAAGGCTCCTTGACATTCATGATCTTGTCCCGCATGGTGCACACCGAGCGGAACGAATTTCTTTTTCGTGGGTGTCCGCCAGAGGGTGGGTTCGGACACGCGCACACACATGCCGCCGTTGCAAGGCGAGCCGCCCAACCAACGAAGGTCCAAGCCCTCTCTCGACCGACCCTCCCCCCCCCCCCCTTCTCCTCCTACCCCCCCACACCACCACCACGCACCACCACCATCCCCCTACCCCCACCCCCCCCGCTCGCAAAAGAAACAAATCCCCCTTTCTTTTAAACGAAATCCAAAAACCTGCTGCAATTCGTCAGGGCTCCCGCCCGAGATCGCATTCGAAAAAGGTCCACGCGACGGCGCCTCTCTAGCGTCGGAGGACCGAGGCAACACAAATCCAGAGAAACGGGGTGCTGCTTCCGATGCGGATTGGAGAGCCCGGTCCCGCAAACGCTGGACGGGCCAGCGGCTGGCACGCGCCGGCAACCCCGGCGGCGCGGCGGCCTCATCGCGCTCGTCGTCTGCGGCCACCGCTCGGCGTCGTTGCGTGCGTCGGCGATCGCGCTTGGCTGTGAGGTGGGACGGCGGCATGGTGCGCGCGGGCGTGGGGGTGGTGCGGGGTGTGCGTGCCAGCAAGCCTAGTTTCACCTCCACTCACCAGTCAGGCGCGCCGACGTGCTGCCCGAGCGCGTTTGGGGGCCCAGCAGCTCCTCGCGAGGCGCCTCTTTGGAAGGTGCCACACCCCTATCCTAGCCGCGCGCGAGTTGAGCTCCGATTTGCGCTCGTATTCGCACACGCCCGACGCTATTAGCTGAGGATCGACCATCCTCCGCTAGCAGGGCTTCGTCGGGCGCGTCTTCGTCGAGCGGTGGTGCATCTCCCATGCTCCCCACACCGACGCCCTCACGTGCTCACCCTGGTCGTAGGTGCGTTCTTTTTGCGTGGCCCCCGTCGGCACGGGGCGCTGCGCGATGGCTGGGCTTGTCGCCGGGCGAGCTAGCCCCTCAGCCGGCCGCGGAGCGGAGGTGCGAAATCGAGGCGGCGCGGCCCGGCGCGCAGCCTCTCCGGCGCGCGCATGGTTCCGTAGACCGTCTAGTGCCTCACTGGGACCGACTCCAGCGATACGGTGTACGTGGCCGGTGTGGTACTGGGGCTGGGCAGCCTTGGGGTCGGCGGAGACCGCCGTCTAGCGGTCGCACTAGTCGGATATCGTTTGACCTGTTTGTTCAACGACCGTGGTTTATATAATTCTGAGGGTTGACCGTGGTTTATGATCCTCAGAATTATATTCATGGGGTTTGGGTCTCTGATCGATAGCGCCTGTAACTTGCCACAAGCATGCTTTACAAATAAAGTCCAGCGGAGCGGGACTCGCAGAACCGCCGTCCGCGCGCGCGCTGTGAACAGAGTGCCATGGTCGAACGTTGATTGACGACCGTCGAACACGTGACGGTCCAGTAACCGAACCGCACGGCGCCGCGCCTGACCAGCCCGTTGGGGCTCGGGGCCGGGCTCGCACACAGCCGCTGTGAGCGGCGTTTTATTTGGACCAGCTGTCGAGACACTGTCGAGCGTTGAGATGCTGAGAATGTGCCCGCGGTGCGCGGAGCTCCACCTGAGTCGGGAAAATCGGAAAGTCGTGAGGGACGTCTCGTGTGAAATGTGTGCGTGTGCTCTGTGCTCGAGGCACGCCTGGAGGCTAAGCGCTCTCACTGTCGGTTCGTGCGTAAGTAAAAGTGGGGCGTATAGCAGAAGTGTGGAAGTCCATGCATGCACCCGGGTTGACCCAGACCGGCCGTTCACACGGTGAGCCGCGCGTGTGCACTCCTCTGCATGCTCCTGCTGCCAGCGCGGCACGCAGCGCCGCCAAAGCGGCTTGACGGCAAAAAGAAAAGTCACGCCTCGAGGGGGGGAAGAGAGACGCCGTTCACACCTTGCGCTGCGATTAGGTCTCGATGCGCCGTCTCGTCAGATGCTATTCATTCATGGCGTGCGCGTGTGTGCTGCACTACACGCCCGGCGCTGTGCAGCGCCTTTGGGCCTGCGTTGGGGCGGCAAGAAGGTGCGCTCACCAAAGAGAATGACGTAAATGGCCGTACGCTTGTTCACGGATCACGCTCGGATCAAGGTTCTGTCCGTGCTCCGCATGTGCTCTGACCTCTGTTAATGTTTAAAGTTTAACGCCGCGTCATACGTTGTAGGGGCCTAGAATGCAGATGAATCGGCCCCAAAGCTGTGACTGCACCCGATGCAGGATGCAGATGCAGAATGCCGAATGCAGAGTCGGGCCCAAAGCCACAGATGCCTTGCACCCGATGCAGAATGCAGGATGCGGATGCAAGAGCTGTCAGCGCTGCACCCGACGGACAAGCTCTTTGGGTCTCTGATTTTGCATCCACCTGCATTCTGCATCCTGCATCCTGCACCCCATGCAGAAGAATCAATTTTGGGTCCGATTCTGCATCCTGCATCCTGCATTCTGCATGCTGCACATACAGACACTAAACATTTTGGGCTGGGTTCTTCATTCTGCATTCTGCATCTGCATTCTGCATATTATCCAGAGAAATACGGAATGTAGAATTTTACGGAATGTAGAACCAGCCCGTCTATTGCAGAGGCTAATCCATGCAGTCCAGACTGCAACCTGCATGCTACAAGAGTGCGACATTTCAGTGCAATCCCTGGTGCAAAGGAGCGTCGAGCGTCGTGCGTGCCAGTGGGGCTGTCTGCTCTCTCGCCGGGGAGCTCTGGCACACCGCTCACCCCACGCGCCCACGCCGCGCAACGACACGGGGTCCGTCGACGGGAGTGTGTAAAGGCTGCCCTAAAGATCCGAGAGCGGCCGCGGACTTTTGGAGGACTCACCCAGATAAGTTTTCCTTTAAACGCACACAGCCGCTCCAGGAACTGCAGCTAGTTGAGACATGCAATCACGGCGGCGCCTGGCCGCACTCCGCCACGTCGTCGGCCACGGTGTATCCGCCGTCGGCGCTGTCTGCCATGTCCAAGTGGCAGACGCACCCCTGCACCCCGTCGCCGCTACCGAGGCTCGCCGAGCAGCCCATGTCGTCGCGGTAGACGGAGGCGGGCTGCGCGTCGAGCGGCGGCTGCGCGACGAGGGGAGGGGAAGGGGAGGGACACTTCTCCACACACACACACACACACAGAGAGAGTGTGGTGGGGCGAGGGCCAGGCGACCCTCGCGTCTCCACACCGGGACACTTCCTAGACACTTCCTAGACCTCGCGGCTCCACACCGGGACACGGGCGGGCGCCGGCGCGGCATCTCAGAGCGCAAGGCCCAACGCACGCTGGGTGAGCGGGCCTGCGCGACGAGGAGGTACGTGGAGGCGTTGAGGGCGAGCACGAAGCCGTTGAGGACCTGAGGAGAGCGGGATGCCGCGTCGTGAGCCAGCCTCCTCCAGGAATGGCGCGAGGGACGAGGCTGCACTGAAGCCCACCCAAGTGAACTTGTACCCAAAGTCGCGCAGGTCCAGCGTCCACTGCCTCCGCACGAGCACACCGACCTGGTGCAGCAGCGGGTTTGGGTAGCCGCCGCCGCCGCCGCCGCCGCAGCAGCCGCCGCGCCCCTCCTCCTCCTGCGGCGCCTTGAGCGACTGGGCCGCCAGGTCCGCCAGCGCGGGATGGCGGCCGATCTCGACCGAGTCGATCTCCGCCTCGATCTCGCGCCTACCGCACGGCCCACGGGACTGAACCCACGCTGGGTTCGGCACGGCGGAGGTATGGGACGCGTCGCATCTCGCGCCGGAGGTCCGACTCTGCGAAGCGCGCCACCAAATCGACCGCCTCGCCGCCGTCCTCGTCCGCGTCCGCCTCCTTGGTGTGCGTGAGGTCGACCACCACATCGGCGGGGTTCACCTGCCGGGGGGACAACGCGTCTCGGACACGCCGTGCAGACGTGTCCCGACGCAATGTCTCGACGGCCCACGGCGGCGCGAGCTCACCGACGGCGGGCACGGCACGCCGCAGCCGCGAAGAAAGTCGGGCACCTGCGAGTCCACTGGCACCGTCCCCGCCAGGGCCGTCGCCTCCAAGCGTGGGTTCAGTCCCGTGGGTGGTGCGGTAGACAGTGCGGGGCACCTGCGCCACCGGCCCGCAGTACATTGTCTCGCCCGCCTTGACCAGCAGCAGCTGGTGGAAGAGCCGGAACGTCTCGGCGCGCGGCTGGTGGATGGTGCAGGCGAGGGTGCGGCCGCGGTCCGCGAAGCGGCGGAGCGCCGCGACCACCTAGCAGTGCGAAGGCACTCGCAAAGCCGCTCCGCCGCTCGTGTGCGGTGCCGCCCCGCGCCCGCTTCAGAGTGGAGGTGGGGGCGGCCAGTGCCATCGACCCCCCACGCAGCGGGGGCGGCGCGGAGGGGGAGAGACGTCGCTGGCGTTGTGTGCTGGCGGCGTTGTGTGCGAGGCAGGCCACCACCTGCTGCGCGCCGTACGCGTCCAGCCCAGAGGTTGGCTCGTCGAGCAGTACTAGCGCGGGGCCTACGTGCGTGCGTGCCGTACGCCAGCCTCGGGGCGGACAAGGCGGTCTCGTGCAGAGCAGCTGTGAATAGAAGAGCTGTGAATAGAAGAGCTGTGAATAGGAGGCGGTCTCGTCCAGAGCAGCGCGTGCGTGCGAGGGGCGACGAGGTACAGTGGGTGTACAGCCGAATGTACGGCGGAGTGAAACCAGAGTGCGTGCACTCTCGGAGCGCCGGTTGGAGAAGGAGAGTGCGTCTTCTGGTCCGCTTCTAGCGGCGCGGGGCCAGAGAGGAGCTCGATCGCGATCGTGACGCGGCGGCGCTGTCCGCCCGACAAGCCTCCAGACACGTCGTCGCCGATCCGCGTGTCGGCGACGTGCGCGAGGTCAACGTCCTAGTCAGACTCAATACGCTCGTCGTCAGCTCGCTGACTAGCTGGCCACTTTCGCGCGAGGCTGGCGTCCTCCATCGTCGCGTCAATCAGCTCGAGCCGCTCGTGCCGGCCAATGTCGGGACCGAGCCGCAGCGCGCAGACAAACCAGAGCGTCTCCCGGACGGTGAGCGTCGAGTGGCAGCAGTCCTCCTGCATCACGTACGCGCACGTCGACCGAAAGTCCGGCCCGCGCTCTGCGCCGTTCAGCCGCACCTGCACAGCGGGGGCGAGTCGCGGACGTGTCGTGGACGTGTCAGGGACGTGGCAGACGTGTGTGGCGACCCTCCACCGTCCGCTCGTCTCGGAGGTGTCTCGGAGGTGTCTCGGAGGTGTCTCGGAGGTGTCTCGGAAGTGTCTCGGAAGTGTCTCGGAAGTGTCTCGGAAGTGTCTCGGAAGTGTCTCGCCGCACGTCCCCCTCGATGACGCCGACGCGCTTGGTGTCGGCGAGGACGTCGAGGAGGGTCGACTTGCCGCAGCCCGACGGCCCCATGATGGCGGTCAGCGTCCCCGGCCGCAGCACCCCGCTCACGCCCTTGAGCACGTGCAGCTCCTGCCTCTCGCGGCCCGGCAGCGTCACCGAGTAGTGCACGTCGCGGAAGGAGACGAGGGCGGGCGGCGGGGTGCGGCGCTTCGCGCCCCTCGCCGTGCTGTGCATCCGCCCGCCGCCGCCGCGCGCGATCCAGCCGCTCGTGCCGCCGCTCCGCCAGAGCGGGCTCACGAACCAGGCCCACGTAGCGATGGGCAGAACGATGAAGAGCGCAAAGCTGATGGCGATGAGGCTGGCGGCGGTGGAGTCGAGAGTGTAGACGTACACGTACTCGTTGTTGACGGTTTCAGCTGGCATGGGCGCGTATGATGCTTGCCTCTATAGTCGGGACTCGAGGCAAGGGGCCGCCCGCGGCGGCAAGCGCGGCAAGGCCGCGCCCGCGGCGTGAATTCTTTTCGCCCAATTCTTTTTTTGAGAGCGCCTTCGTTGTTAATAATACAAGCCCAATGGTCCCTTTCAAGCGGTGAGAGCGCCTTTGCTGTTAATAGTACAAACCCAATGGTCCCTTGCGAGCGGTCCTTCGTTGCAGTCGCACACACGCACACGCCGCGCCGCACCGCGCGCCCGCCCACTCCGTTAATAAATACGGCCTCTGCTGTCGGCCGATGCCTGCTGCCACCGGACAACAACGACTCTCCTCTCTCGCACGAGCCGACGACCCGCACCGCAATCGAACATACCATTCGCATTGTGCGTGCCCAATCACATCACCAGTCCAATCTCCTACACGCCAGGTTCCCGCAATTTCGCTGACCTGTCCGCGTACGTGGCGCGCCAAGTTTGCTCGATGTGGTGCGTCAGGGCCGAGCGATCGCTCGGAGTCCACTTCCACCACACCGACTTCACCAGAGCGCGTGCCGAGGGGCCGCCGGCAGCATCAGGCCGTGAGCGGGCTGCCGGCGAGCTCTCCAAACGGAGGCTCCACCGCGTCGTCGTCGACCTTGCAGACTTTCACCGAGCTCCGCAGCGCCGCCTGGGAAGCCGCCCTTTGGCTCTCGTGCGCCATCCAGTGGCAGAGAGAGCCGAGGTGGTAGGACGAGTCGACCTCGTTGGCGTCGCCGGCGTGACCTGGCAATACCAAATACCATATCCCTCGTTGGCTGTCTCTTTTCTTTCTTTATTTCTTTTAAAGAACCCTGCAGCTGCACAAAGATCGCACGGGCGGGGACCTGTTCCTTTTTACCCATCTCACAGTAGAGGTGTCCGTTTTTATTTACCATCGCCCGGCGCTACCGGTAAAGGCCGCTGGGACTTAGAAGCGTGCGGCTGCCAAGACCGGCGCTTTGATAAAACTTTCGGGCGAAAAGTGTGGATCGCTGCATGCGTTATGTGGGGTCGGTCGAGGCCGGGGTCGAAGTGAATTTTTTGGTGAGTGTCGCTGGACGTTCTCTCGAGGTCTCGCGGACTCTCTCGGCCCGCGCACCACGCACAGGGATCAGGCGGGTGCGGTGCGCACGACGTCAACAAACACGTGACGCGCGCGCCCCTCACCTGGATGGACCATATCGCCAGGACAGTGCACGGCGTCGGCAGATCGACGCAGCAGCGACGCACTCGCCAACTCGCCTCACGAGCCAACAAGACGCCGGGCAAGCACAGGCCCTCGCACGGCTCGCATGGCTTGCCGGGAAGAGCCAGCCTGGTCGCGGCAGCGGCGATGGAGCAGCCCGCTGCTATGTCGTTCCTCGGTCTTCTCGGCTGGCTCTGCCTCACCACCCTCGCAGCCGTTGCGCTCTATCAGACCGGCCGCAGCGTGCACCGCCTGCTATCGAGGAGGCAGCCAAAGGCCTCTCGGTCGCCGAGCCTGCCACCGGAGGTTGCCGCCGCAAAGCTTAGACCCGTTCGCGAGGGGGACGATACGCTGTGAAAGGGAGGCCCATGGTGTCGATGGCATGGGCCGTCACCGCGCGGCGGGTGGAGCGCACGCTGTGCGGCGCGCTGGCTGCCGGGCGTGTGCAGCGAGTACACGGCGTGGTCGCGCAGCACACGCATCATGTGTATATATGTATCGAAGGCGAAACACAAGGGACTGCGACTCTGTGGCGCGTACATAAATCGAAAAGTATTATCCTAACGGTGTGGGGGCGCGGAGGGCTTGTTGGCGAGCCAAAATGGTGTTTTCCGAGGCGCTGCGCTAGGCTCAGAGCGAGTTCGCGCTGCGCTAGGCTCAGACGGCGAGTTCGCGCTGCGCTAGGCCCAGACGGCGAGTTCGCGCTGCGCTAGGCTCACAGATGCGAGTGCGCTGCGATAGAAGAAAAAAACAGCTTCGAAACGACAACCGAAGGGAGGACTGTGTAGTGTAATCATGTGTCAAGAATCGTGCTGCTGCTGCTGCTGCTGCTGCTGCTGCTGCTGCTGCTGCTGCTGCGCGGCGAGCGCCGTCGCCGAGGCGGGCCTCGGCGGAGAGCGCGATTATGCGGCCTTTCCCGCGACCCGCACAAAGAAGAGGCGCCCTCCGTCAGCCTCGACCTGCCACCGGCTCGCGTCGACCGACCCGGCCGCGTGCCACACCTCCACAGCCCAGTGCGCCAGCCCGCAGAAGTTGCCCGTCGCCTCCTCGATGCCCCACCCCGTGGGCCACGCGGCCAAGGCGGTGCCGAGAGGCGGCGGCGGCGCCGCGGTCGCCTCGAGACGCGCCGCGACGGCGTCAAAGGCGATCCGCCTCGCGCCCGTCGCGGCCGCCTCGGCCAGCAGCGCCTCGACGCCGGCGCCTGCAAAGAGCGCGTCTGCCTTGGCGCTGTCACCGTCGAGCAAGTCGAGGACGAGGCGGCGCACCTGCGGGCCGGAAGCGAGTGGCGTCGGCGCAAGCAAGGAGTGGGCTAGGGCACGCGAGGCTCCGCGGCGGCACCTCGGCATCGGCGTCCTTGGAGTCGATCGGGGAGACCAGCCCCGAGTGGCTCACCGAGCCGTCCCCGTCGACCTCGGGCGGGAGCTCATTCTGCGCCGGGGCGGGACCGCCCTCCTCCTCCTCCTCCTCGGCCGCGCCGGCGGCGCGCGCCGGCTTCTCGTGCACGGGCAGCCCAGGCAGCTCGGCGCGCTCCTCTGGCACGGCCTGCTGCCTTTGCTGCGACATCACGACGTCGGAGTAGTACCGGTTGGGGATGTGAAGGAACCAGCGGCCGCTGAGCCGCTCGCCGGAGGGGAGGTCGGGGCCGGAGTACCGCTCCCAGTCGGCGGATGCGGAGTAGAGAGCTCGCACATCATACACGTCTACGAAGTAGCTGTCGACGGTCGGCCGGTGCGGCGAGCCGCCCGGCGGGTCGCCGCGCACGAGGCCGGTCAGCGCGCCCTGCACCGATCGCCTATCCGCCGCGAAAGCGCGCCCACCGTCGTGGCGCGCGCCCGCCTTGCGCAGGATGATGAGGCCCAGCTCGCTCGCGTGCCGAGGCAGCTCGCGCGCCACCTTGAACATGTCGTTTGGTAACGTCGTGCAGCTGCCGGCGGACGAAAGCATGCCGCCCGACATCCTCCTGATGCGCATCACGGGGATGATCCGCGCGATCAGCATGCTCTCGACCTGCGACAGGCACTTGAGCCATGACGGGGCGACGCGGAGGTGCATGTCGTTGTGCCGCATAGCGTCTGCGGGCGGCCCGAGGTCGTCCGGCAGGACGGTGCGCACACCCGAGAAGAGCTGGCAGCGGCCGCGCGACTCGCGGCGCCGGTGCTTCCGGCAGTCGGTGCACACGTAGAGCAGGCGACGGAGGTGGCGCCAAGCCAGCTCATCAGGCGACGCGCGCCACACGCTGAGCGAAACGGGCGGCGTGCCTTCCGGCCGGAGCGGCGGCTCCACGGCCGGAGTGCACATTAACATCGGACGGCACGTGTCGCAGACGTGGCAGCGCCTGCGGCACTGGGCGGCGCAAGAGTGAGGGGGACGGGTGCACTCGCCGCACCGCCGCCGCACCGCTCAACGCGCACCGGACGCGGTGCAGCTGCTCGCCGGCCTCAAAGGCGACGCCCGCCTCGCGCACGCGCGGGTTGGAGTGGGCGGAGGCGTCGCCGAGCACGCGGTCGATGGCCTCGTCGCACACTTCAAAGCCGCCGCTGCCGAGGGGTGGAGGGAAGGGGACGGAGGAAATGGTCGGATGCGATGGTGGCGGCTGAGAGCGAGGGCTAGTGGCGGTGGCTATGGTGGCCTCTCCGCCCGGGGAGAAGAGCGCATCATGCAGGGCGTGGTGTGCTAGACGTGAGCGGCACATATGTGTGTGCCCGTCGCCGTCAGCGGCTCCGTCGGGGACGGCAGCCCGGCGGATGCCGTCGCCGCCGGCCGGCGTCGACGACCCGAAGACAGTGCGCAGCTCGCGGTCGCGGAGCGACAGCTGGCAGCCTGCCCACTGCGCTCCGAGTCGTTGCCGCAGCACGCGGAGGTTGCCGACGTACGAGAGCAGAGTGGCGTCGGTGTGCGTCACCTTGTAGCGCGAGACGGCGACTACGCAACCGAGGGAAAGGGGGGGGGGGGGGGGGGGTTGAGCAAGCACCGCCGGCGTGCAGCGAAACGGGGCGAGCGTGCGCGACCCTGACGCTCGGCGCGAGGCGGCGTCTCCTCTCCGCCCTCCATCAGGTAGAGCGCGGCGGCCCACGAGCGGAGAGAGGCCTCATCGAGCCGGTCGGAAGCGACCGAGCTCGTCACCACCCCGGTCGCCTGCGCGTGCTCGTACGCGTCTCGTGCGACCTGCCTCGCGGCCAGTCCAAAGAAGTCCCTCGTCGTCGCGCCGGCGGCCGCCGCCGCCGGCAGTGGAGGCGGGTCGACGTGCGGCTGCGGCTGCGGCGGCTGCGGCGGCGGCGGCGGCAACCCCGCAGCGGAAGCGGCCGGCCCGGTCGGCGGTGGCGGAGGGAAAACGGTAGCGACTCCGCCCGGCGGCAGCGGCACCACCGCATCCGCGCCACCACCGTCGGCGAATTGCTGACGGCAGCGCTCCAAGACGGGAGAGCCACCGGGCCGGCCTCCAACGCCGAGCGGGCGCGGAGGAGTGTTGCCGACGTCCGAGAGCGCAGTGCGTCGGTGCGGCGAGCCTCCGCCGCCACCTCCGCCGCAGGCGTGCGGCCCGCTCGACTGTGACATGAAGCAAATCTTGCCCAGACACAACCCTGCCCTCGCCTGCTGCTTTCGCCGAGTCACGCCGTGGTTTGAGAATTCTTTTTCACCCTAAACCTTTTTTGGCCGTGATACTGGTGGTTTAGCGACCAGCATGGCAGCCTCCAGCGACCTGCAGGCTCTGCAGCTTGAGAATCGGAACCTGCAGCAAAAGCTCGACTGGAAGCAGCTCAAGATCAACGAGCTCGAGACGAAAGTTCGCGATCTCCGCGGTGGCGGCCTCGCCGCCGACCTCGGGCGCCTCGAGCGGTCCATCGGCCGCCTCTCGCTGCAGATGGAGCACGTCCAGCTCGTCATCAAGAAGCCGGAGTGGTCGTTTCACACCTTTGCGATGCCGGAGAAGACCGCCTCCTCGGCGCACACCATCTTTGTCCGGCCGCCCAGCGGGGACCGGATCGAGGTCACCATTCCGCCGGGCAAGCAGCCCGGCGAGGTCTTCACCGTCATGCTCAAGGACGAGGACGCGTACCCGCCGGACTGGCCGTGGCACGCGGCGCCGCCCGCGGCGCCCGCGCACTCCGCGCCGCCGCCGTGGGCGGAGGAGCAGCAGCAGGAGGAGGAGGGCGAGGACGGGGAGGAGGGCGCAGGCGAGGAAGGCGCAGACGAGGCGGCCCTCCGGAAGAAAGCCAAGGCAAAGGCCGATGTCGAGCGGCGCAAGGAGCAGCGGCACGCCGCGGCCGCGGCGGCAGGCCGCGTCCGTATATGATAGTGCAGCAACTAACC